GTATAAAATCGCTTCGAGATATGCAACACGGTGGCGGCTACGGTCGTCACCTCCCCGTGTTTGTCAAAACTTGGGTTTGTTGTATGAACGTTTATGTAGCGAGAAGTTGGTCGTTTGTTTTGATGTGTGGCGATTTGTGGCACCGTTTGGCCAGTATATATCGTCCATGAAAAGAGAGCTTTCACTTTCTCTGTCGCTCCTTTTTTTCCCCGATTGATTGATTGATTCTCTCATTGATCGGTTTATTCTTGGTGTGTGTGTCTGTGTGTGTGTTCCCAAGAACAGCAAAGCCCTTGTGTAGGGCTTTGCTGTCACCGACCATAATCAAAGTATTTCTCTATTCAACACGAAAAATGCTGCGTGAACTTGGCGACAGACAACAAGCTCGCAATGTTGCCTTGTCAGCTGCACCGATTGCGCTTCACGCCGCCCGAGTCGTTCGTTTGTACGATTTCATGGTGCTCGATGATGGACCCCAAGCGTGCACTATAAGAAATGTGGTGGGTCTACTTCTCCGCAAAAAACAACAATCTGTACTGGCACACTGAGCGCCGTGCACTGAGCATCGTGACTAGTGTCATTGTTATCATTATCATTGTGATTATCATTGCCATCATTATCTTTGACCGAGCTCGTTCCCTAGACTGTGGCGATCGGCTATCCCAAGTGCTTTGCAAAATAAATAAATAAACGCACTGAACTTTTTTTTTTTTTTTTTTTTTTTTTTTATTAAAGTATGGAATGGTACTGGGCATAGCCTCCTCTCTACTCACAAAGCCTGACAGTTCGATGACGGAGCCATAAAGTGCCCGGTCACAGATTTTGAGCGCGATAATCTAGTAGTACAGAGCATTTCTCGGGGAGTCTGGTATTCAGCGCACAGCTTTTGCAGCGGCAAGGATCCGAAACATGGTTTTCAAACCCGACGAGAATAGAAGTGGTAGCCCGAGGAACGCGAGAAGCACGAGCGGACCTTCCATCGCTTGGGACAAGTGTGTTTCGGCGTCTCGCCGCAGCAGGGCGCCCGTTACATGACTATTGTGTAAAGCCCCTTTATACGGAAAAGTAGCGACATCATTTGAAGAATGCCGCCTGCTATCTTGGAGCGATCCAGGCGGCGCTACCGTCGACGCGAGAGCGCGAAAGAACAAAATATAACAATAAGAGTGTGCATGAGCGACGAGAAGGGAGAAGGAATACCTATGCTGTCGGAGTGCACTGCGAGAAGGAATACCTATGCTGTCGGAGTGCACTGCGCGCTATAAGCTCATGTCGCCAATCAACTGACGCCGATTGTGCAACGTCATGGCTTTCATCGTCTTTCTTTGAGCACATCCTTCGCGGCTGGTAGACAGTGACAATGCGCTTTTAGACTGTGTGTATATGTATTTGCGTGTCTTTCAGGCCTTTGACTGCGCTCTGACTAAAGTATAGTAAGGCCATCTGCTATCTTGGAGCGACCCAGGCGTGTAAAGAGACACGTGGGTGTAAAAGAGCAAAACATAAATATAAAAGGTGTGCGCGTCAGAGGACGAGGGAGAAGATACCTTTCTTATTCAGGGGCATTAGAGCGCTCTGCCTTTTCATTTTCGGCGGCCTCGTCACGTGACGATCTGCCAGGCTTTTTCAGTATAAAGGAGGCTGTGGGGACTGGATGTGATTGGAGCTTTTGCATTCGTCGTGAGGAATCGTGAACGCGAGCGCAGGTTCGTTTGCCCAACGGGGTCGATTTTACACCCGCGCCCCGCGATTGCTCGCGCCTCACTTTTAAAAGCTCTGGCTCCACGACGATGACGGCATCGCCAAAAAAACGTTTCTTTCTCTCTTTTTTTTTCTCTCGCCGTTTTTAGTGTTGGCGCCATGCTTGGCGCGTTTGCTTGAATGAGGAAGCGAGCCGATAAAGTGTCAGCGAAACAAAGAGAGAAAGAGAGACAGAGAGAAAAGAAAAATAACTCCTTGCGAAACCCGAACGTTGGGTTTGTCTGCACGGCATACGCTACGACGATAAAACGAAGAGTGCGCGCAGTGATTAATTTATAGCCTCTTGAAGAGATCGGTCATTTTTGTTAAAACGAAGGAATAATATTATGTTTATGGGGGAATAATGATCTCTCTGCTGGAATCTGCAAATAAATAACTTGACGCTAGCTCTTTTTTTTTCGTTTTTTTTTTTTTTTCTCTCTCGTTAAACTCGTAAAGTTACACGGAATTTGTTATCCTCCCTGAAAAGCTCCAAGACGTGCCTTTGCGATACAGGGGCAGCAAACGACATTTATTGTATCTTCCTAAAGCTTCAAAAAGCGACTCGCTTATTTGCCTTAGAGTTGGTTCAACATAGCAACAGGGGCGGCTGAATTAGTAACCTAAACATTAGGATACATTTTCTTTTTTCGCAAAGTTTGTATTTAATCCTCGCCGCTTTTTTTTTTTTTTAACTTGGGAGTTTATATCGCAGTGACTACGGATGCGAGTACAGGTTCACCATTTGGGAAGCCTAACATGTACCCTACGGATTACAAGCAATTCGATGGTGCGGAACGAGTGGCGCGAAATCCAGGACTTGTTCAGCAGAACGCAAACAAAAACGCTCGACGCGTTTCCTTTTTATACTGCCTGCTCGACCTGCAAGTTTTTCAACATGCGATACGTCACGTCACTGGAAAGCGCGAGGAAGTTCGAATGTTGGATTTGATATCACCTTCATGTCGCGTTTTCTCAATAGCTATTTCTGAATGCCGTTTTTAGTGTGGGCTATTGGGTTTTAGTACTGGGTCTGCGAGCGAACGCAAACACTGTGCGTTTGCGTTAGCGTTGCGTGTTCCATACTACGCGTGCGCGTAGACCAAACTGCGGTCTTGGATTGACGACGCAACGCCAACACAAACGTACAGCGCTTGCGTTTGCTCCCATACGCGACACTAAAACTCTCTATTGGCAGAAGGAAACGGAGCAGTGACTCTATTCTTTTAACTTCCTCTCTTTTTTTTATATTTTTTTCAGACATACCATTCAACCGTTTAAACAGGGTGTTAAATCACGGCAATGCGCGTCGCCCTGCGTTTTCCGAGTTCGGCTTTCTAGCACGCTTCCACGCATTGCGGCGAAGTGGCTCGTTAGGCGTCAGCCGGCGGCGCCCGCCGCCGCCTGCTCTTTCCCGAGACGTGTCCCATTGCGTTCATTCGTACGCGCCATTTCCCGGTCTCTGAAACCGAGGCCGACGCTTACGCTCAATTCTTGTTTCAATAACGGATATAAAAACAGATAACAATAATTTTCGTTTTTTTTATTTTCTTATAATGTTTGTGTTTTATTTCCGCGCACGCGTCGGAACATATCAAGAAAACGCACTACGCCAAATACGTGCTCTGAGATGTATTGATTATACATACACTTCCTGAAATTTCAGATTTACACAATTGCGTATGTTTTTTTGTTTTGTTTTGTTTTTATTCTCTGCCAAAAATGGGTCAGGAAGAAAATCGTTTCTAGCTGCCAAGGACGTTAGGAACACGAAGCGTGGGCGATTTGCAATCTGAAAGATTATTTTTAAAAAGCAAGGAAAAACAATTAAATATAATTATCTTTTCTTTTTATTTGTTTAGTCTTACTCAAAAATCCTTCGTGTCAATGTCACGCGTGTATGCGCGCTCACTTCTGGCATTTGTGCGAGCTACTTGATCTGCAAAACTAACAAATGGCGCCGCCTAAAAAAAAACAAAAAAAAAACTGCCATGTCTAAACATTTAATTGATCGGTGGCGCTCAGACTTACTTAGTTATCTTGCCATGCATTTGTAGCAATGTTTAGTTATAACTACAGTTCGCACTCCGCTGGAGAAGTAGTTAAAGGTGCGGTGAAACGATTTTCGGACTTCGGTCAAAGATTTCTGAAAGTTGCCCCCTGACACTTCTGAAGTAAAGAACCGAAAACCGATTTCGCCTGCGTGTCCTAGTTGTTGCGTAAAAAAAAGGTAACTATTAACCTTTCGGGCACCCCTCAACTCACTCCCAGTCTTCAGGGTCACACCTGGTAGCGCTCCCAGTGACGTCATTCGGAGTGCCGTGTAGCTTCCCGTGTGCTATCTCGGAGGACGCTTCCCATCCCTTTCTCTGCGTACATTAGCGGGCGCTACGCTGCAGCTTAGAGCCGAGCGAGGTCACGTAATCTTTCCGCCGTAGTTCCTTCGGCTGCCACTTGGCGCTGCAGGTGGGGGAAAAAGCTCGACTTTTGCTTTGCGATTATGCAGCGGAATCGCGACATTTTTATTGAATGAGGTGTTTTCTCTATCCTCTGGGACACGATAAACAACGTAAAAATTACGAGATGCAAATTCTTTTAATCATAAAATCGTTGCACCGCCCCTTTAAAATGTCGACTATTAGTCGAACTCATTCTGTGGTTCTGATTCGGCTCGGGATCTCACGGGTTTCCCAAACTGTGAACGGAACAGTGGAAAAGATATTGTTTAATTTAATCTATTAAGTCAATTTAACAATAGTGTTGTTTACAGAAAACTTACCAAAACCCGTCAAAGATACTAAAAAAAAAAACTGTACAGCCCTGTTTTTTTTTTTTTTTTTAGTTAGTTTTGCTCGATTTAATGCGAAACGTTTTAAGCATGGGCGCGTCATTTTGAAGATAGTGATGTTTCGAGTAATTTGTTCAGTTTCTGGTGCGTGCTGTCTCAATCCACCACTTCTACAAATAATTGGCGCCACCTGGCGGAAAATTAGATTCGAGGGTTTTCAGGATGAAACAACGTGGGCCATTAGGAAGGAGAAAGGAGAAGCGTCCTTAAGCGAACTTGGGCGCAGAAGATATTCCACATTAGGCACAAAAGGGACACGGAAGAGCTCAGTCTAGGTCATTGCAGATCAAGGGAGCCAGCAGGATGCGACTTCCCGCTCTCGTTTGTGCACAGGCTCACGGATTTTCATACCGAAACCGTCGTACGAACTGTTGTCTGATGTTTTCTTCCTCTGTTTTGTTGTCTGCTGCAGGTGTCTGGGGGTCCGCAGGCAGGCATGCTACTTGCCTGCTGCAGGCCTGTCCTAGCCAGGTTCTAGCCGTGACATCTTGGCAGCCCCTGCCGCCTCTTGCTCAACTGCGTGCCAAAGCCGGCTCTAGTACGGTCACAGGTGAGAAGACTGAACTGCTTTATCCTTGAAATCGGGCAGCGGCTTGTGCCATCTAGCCACATTTGGACGTACTGGATGTCCTTGAGCGTTTTGATGTCTATTTATGAGTCCACGTGTCAACCGTACGGCCATCTTGCCTGCGGCAAAATGGCGTTTTTGCTAGCGTTGCAGAGGATAGCTGGCAGCGTGCTGAAGAAACGTTTTCTACTCGTTCGTCTTCATATGCCAAACTTTTTTTTTTTTTTTTTTGTAAAAGCGGTGAGAATTGTCGGTGAGAACACGTTGAAATTTTTACGAAAGCGCAGTGCCGTAGGAAATAAGCACAACTTGTCGAAAGCAAGTTTCGCCGGTCTCGCGGCGTGATCAAAGCTTCGTTGGCACGCCGAATTGCTGCGTCTCTTTGCCTTCGCGCGCTTGGATACCCATGTGTTTTGCAAGCGCAATGTGCGTGAAGCCGTATGTGCCTCTGGAGCAGCGTTTTACTTTACTTTGACGACACTGATCGTAACTTGCGGCACTCGCGGTCCAGAAACGAGCTGGATCCAGTGTTCAGAGGCGACGGCAGAGGGGGAGAAAAGACGACGGCGAGTTTTTTTTTTTTGTTTTTTTTTTTAATGCTAAAGCATTAACTGGTCCCATGGAGCGAGCCGACGTCATCAGTTTTGAAGCCACGGTAAACGGCACTTAAACTCCTTGCTTCCAATGGAGCCAAGTGAAGCCGCGATCTGATGACTCCCAGCCTTGAAGTCGCGCGCAAAGCCTAGCCAAACGGCACCTAGTTTCCCCGCTCCCAATGGAACGCAGTGAAGCCGAAATCTGACGGATAGGGCTCCCATTGGCTGGCGCGCGTCATAGCTTCAAGGAACGAGGCTCCCATTGGCCGCTGCGCGTTAGTTTCAACGATCGCCACCCCATGGCGTTGCGTGTCCGCGCCGCCAGCGCGCCGGTAAAACGAAGCGTCTGACCGCCGAGCGAGGCAGCGGCTTCACTCCAGAGGTCAGCGCGGCGAGAAGAGCGCGCGCTCGGCCGTCCACGCCAGTACGCCGCAGACGAAATAAGGGAGCGGAAGAACGACGTGCCTGCTTTCGCATTCACAACTCATAAAAAGTGCTTAGGTGTACCTCGAGCCTTTTTGGTTTGTTTGCTAGGCGCTTATGAATCAATTCAGTAGAACAAACATCTTTATTTATGTGCACTTTTGTCGCCCCTGGCTCTATTGTTCAGAAGTGGCGATCTGATTTGAACCCTTAAGGAATTGTGATTGGTCAACAGACTGCACACGACCATGTGGGCCGCGTTTCAAAGATTTTCAGTCTCACCGTCTTGTACTTTTGCCTTTGAAAACCTTCCTTGCTCCGCAGCGTTGCTCTATTTGTGCTGCCATGTGATCCATTAGAGTATATTTTGAACATACCTTCAAAATTTCGTCGCGGCATTGATTCTTGATCGGCATCCAACCGTGCGGAGGCACAGAGACGCAGCACTTCGGCGTGCCGAGGAAGCTTTGATCACGCCACGAGTCTGGCGAAACTTGCTTTCGACAAGTTGTGCCTTTTTCCTGCGGCACTGGGCTTTCGTAAAAATTTCCACGTGTTCTCAATGGCAGGTCTCACCATTTACACAGGGTTTAAAAAAAAAACTTCTTCGGCGAATGACGACGAACGAGTAGAAAACGTGTCTACAGCACACTACCGCCAGCCCCTGCAACGCTAGCAAAAACGCGATTCCGCCGCATGCGAGATGACCGTCCTGTGGCGCACTCGCAGTGGTTTCCCCCCTTTCCTTTCATCCCAAAATAAAGAAACATTTATGAATCAACGTACGAATTAGTGTAAATATCTTGCTAAAGGGATGTGAAATACCTGCTGCAAATTGGGGAGAGATAATATAACACAAACCTCATGGTCATTCTATTCAAAAAGCCATTTCATTCGTAGCAATGCCATTCGGACAGTATAGTAGAAAGAGAAAAGCTTTTTCTTTTTTTCCCCCCTCGAATTTTGAAATTGTGTTTTGTACAAGGGCACGTTTTCTACAGTTACCTCTGATTGTGAAATAATTTATATATATATATATTTGGTCATACTAAACATTTTTGGTGGTACAAATGGGCAAAGTTTACAGTTGTGATTTTTTGTTGTAATTTTTAAGGTTTGTAGATAGTGTTAATTCGCACACTTCGGCGCTCCTTTTAAATTTTCATTTACAGGGTGAAACAAGAAGACGGTAGGCTCTTTAAATCGACCGCAAAATTCGGTTCCTTAACCTATTGCGCTACGACTTTGTGCAGCGTTGCCCACAGATGGTGCATTTTTTTTTTGTAAAATTTGCAAAGAGTGAACTTACCTGAGGGAAAAGTAAAGAAAGAAAAAGGCTTAGCTCCTATGGAAACGCAGCGACGTCACCGGTCTTCGAACAACACGGCGCCGTTTCGCACGGGACACAAGAGATGGCGCAACGAACGCCGCCAACGAACGAGCATACGGCGCCGAGAGCCAGCGTCTTTAGCAGACAATCTTTTCGACTCAAAAGCGGCGCGCGTTCCGCGGGCGGCGACAGTCGCAGAAACAAAAACAGGCGCAGTAACAACAGCGAACTGCAGTTCCTTGAGGAGGAGAAGCGTTGTAATAGAGGTTGGGGGGGAAAGGAGAGAGCCAATAGTGTGTACTGCAGTTCCTTGTCTGCTGAAGGGCCGGCTCTCGGCGTCGTCTGCTCGTTCGTTGGCGGCAGTTGGCGTCGCGACCGCTTGCGCCATCTCTTATCTCCCGTGCGAAACGGCGCCGTGTTGTTTGAAGATCGGTGGCGTCGCTGCGTTTCCATAGGAGCTAAGCCTTTTTCTTTCTTTACTTTCTTCTCAGGTAAGTTCGCTCTTTGCAAATTTTACAAAAAAAAAATGCACCATCTGTGGGCAACGCTGCACAAAGTCGTAGCGTGATAGGTTAAGAAACCGAGTTTTGCGGTCGATTTAAAGAGCCTGCCGTCTCCTTGTTTCACCCTGTAGTTTTGAGAGTTGTACCTCTTGCAAAACAGGCTTCATGAAAGAATATTCACGAGCTGCTTCTCATTACGGCAAGGACTCCTACTCGAGTAGAGTATGACAACAAATAATATGATTAAATGGTTTCACACTGTCAAAACTGAAAACATATACTATACATTTTTTTAAACTATTGTTACACTTGATGGGATCTTTCCTCGCTTGGCCAAATAAATATATGCTGCCTGCAGAATCGGTAAATAAGTGTACTATAAATAGTGCTTCTAGCGGTCTAGTTTGTCGCTTTCTGCCCGAACCATTTGTCAGGAATAAATGTAGTGTCAGTAGGGATAGCCTAAGCAACCTAGGCAATCTTTCTCTGCCACGACCGGGGCAGGAGCACCTGCTGCAAAATTATGGGACGCTGCCAGAAAGAAGAAGCCTCGTGTCATTCGTCATGCCTCACGCAGAGCAAGCCGGGGGGTGTGCTTCCCCGCAGTGACAGTGCTTTGCAGGAGAAGCCCGCAGAGCGGAGCTTATCAATGCTTTAAAAAAAAACAAAAAAAAAAACGTGACTTTCTTTTCCGATCGTGTTCCTCCCTTGATTGATTGCGACAGATCAGGTACAGCGCGTGACACAGCTAGCCCGGACACGGGATCAGAATTTTGTCCGTGCTTTGCGCAGAAACGCTAGGTTACAGCTTGTGTACATTCCACCACACTTAATAGTTCTGACGGTAATTTCTTAGTCTGTTAAGAAATATGTGAGAAACCGTCATATTAAGATCGGCTGTGTTGTGATCTGTACAACATGTTCGGAGTTTGTCGATCCTGCCACAATGGCAAACACAGGTAAGTGTGCTTGCGAAGGTACACTTAAAGTTTTGTCCGTGATAACTCGCATTTTTCATATGGGGTGTTTCATTCTAAACGTAACGAATTTGCTAAAAAAAAAAAAAAAAGAGAAAAAAAAAGTCGTGAAAGCTGCATTAATGTGGTTTGTGCAGAGGAGCTATACGGCCAGGGGGGCATCATAATAGAGGGCTAATTGTCATACTAAGTCGAACAATAACTAAAATTTGTTCGTTTGCTCTTTTTTAATTAGTGAAAATAGACTCGAATCTTGCTGAGCGTCATCGAAAACCACTGAATCGGTAATATTTAGAAGGAGTTTGAGCGCGTGGGAAGCACAGTAGTGCGCTAAAGTTTGTAAGAGTGCAACAGGTGCAAGGCTGGGGCTATGATAAGAGACGAAAAAACCTCGTGAGTGCGTTATCGCAGTGGTGGCCTTGTTCCTGCTGCACGGGCAGTAATATTAGCGCTCCACTGTGCTTCCCACATGCTCCAAGTCTTTCTAATATTGACCGATTTAGTGATTTTTGGTGACGCTCAGTAAGTATTTGATTAGACTATATATGTTCATTTTCAACAATTGAAACATTAATTAATATACTTTAGTTAATTATCCGACTGATTGTTATAATTAGCCCGCTATACAATGCCCCCCCCCCCCCCCCCCCCCCCCCCCCCCCCCCCCCCCGGGGCCGTATAACTCACCTACACAAACCGCATTAGTGTAGCTTTCACGACTTTTTTAAAAACAAATATGATGTTTAAGGTTAAAAAGAAACATTGAATGGGGGCTGGAATACAGCACTATTAGAATCACTAATGAAAGGTTGGTTTCATCACACGAAGAAAAATTTGTGAGCAATTAGGTTGCCTTTTAATAAGAAATGTAAGATCTATTAGGTCCGTAATGAGACACTTTGCTCGTGGACAAAATTCTGTACCAACGCAATCAAACCATAGGTACAGAAATACGTGCCTCCTGTGTTTGGAAATGTCACAAAAAGTTGTCCCTTAGTATAAAACCATCTGTACCCGAACTTCATTAACTTGTGGATTTACCCCGAATGTTAGTCTATCCACTTTTAGTCTGCCACTCAGAAGTGGAGGATCCCATCTCGTGGCCGCATGTGACTCGTGCCTCCTTGCCCGCCTTCTCTTTGAAGGGCCAGCACACTGCCAGCATGCAGGACCAGTTCTTCGACCAAGGACGGGACGTCAACTCATCCCAAGTGCTGAACTGTGAGGAGTTCAGCTACGACTACGACATTCCACTGGCCATCCTCTGCGGCATGTACATGGTGTTTGGCGTCGTCTACACCCTCTACGGTGGGTGCCCTTTTACGTCCTTAGCCGTTATTGGCAACGTTTCGCGGCGGTTCCGGGGGTGTGTTTGTGCGTAGCTCGTGACCCGATAAATTTAGCAGGGAATCACGGTTCCACGTGACGTCGCAATTTCCACTCTGAAATTAGCGGGACGATTTCTCCGCTACATTTAGTGCCACTTGGAGTCAGAGCTGCGTGACATGACCACATCATGCGAGGTTCTGCTGTCACAGACATAATTGCAACAGCACCATCTTCTACATTTAGCAGGATGTAAGTTTGCCATATAAACGCGTCAGTGTAGCTTTGTTCAACAGTGTGCAGTGCCCCGGCTATCGCCACAGTTCACTCGCAGAATACAGCAAAACAGCGCAAATTTTTTTTTGTTACACTTTGTAAGTTAGATTGCAGTAAAAGTCTACACGATGTTGTGCTTTTGGTGCCGCTTGATTGACCCCATTGCCCTGTGGCGTCGACGGGTCCATGTCACATGAGCGAAGGACATTTTAGCGAACAGCGACATTTAAGCGAATGGACGTTTTAGCGAATAACGGGGGCGCGCGTTAACCCATCCGCCGCGCTGCGCTTTAGCCGCTTCGCGGCGACAGTCTGCGGCGGCTCATTACAAAAATGTGAACTCATTTGGCCCACCCGAAAACGCCGCTTCGCGGCGTCCGACTATTCGCTAAAGTGTCATTCGATGAAACGTGGGCGTTCGCTAAAACGTCATTCGATCAAGTGAGTGCCTCCCTGGCGTCGACTGTGCTCTTATTTATGTTAAACAAGGTGCTACAGCGCCATGTTGAAAACTGTAAGGTTAGAATAATTGGGATATTACGATGCTGTATAGACCGCGCAAATGTGTCTCGGAATGTTTCATGATTCCGTAATTTATTCCAGAGCTACTGACCTGCTGATACATGTCAGGTTCTCTCTCAGTTCTGGGTTTCCGACATTCTTCCAAGCGACCTTTTCCTTGAACAGAGGCTAAGGACAATCATGGTCGTTTTTCTACCATCATGCTATGGATCGGCTGTCTCGTTTCAAAAACCGACGCTGTGAGGTTCGACGAGCCTGGCAGATCAACACTCGAGCTCTCGTTTGTCGACGCTCCCTGTTGCATTCTTCATGTTCCAAGTTCTTTGCACACATCTGAGCAATGTTGCATCTTTTACACCTTAACGAACATTGTCCGCTCGAGAGAGTCATCGATAGAACGAAGCTGTTGGTTTGATGTCACAGCCCCTACCAAGAGAAGTGGAGTGTCACATAATCTCATGGTGTCACTTGACATGATATCGCGGTGTCCTGCAATGTCACGGTGTAATGTGACGTGTCATTACAATTACCAACTTAACTGGGGAAATGTCTCCACTAAATTCCGACGTTAAGCACTCGTTAGAAGCCCTATTGAGTGCTATATCACCCTCGTTGCCATGGGGATCATATATACTAACTCTAGAGCAGCTCGTTGCACTGAATGGAATGTCTAAGCCCTCGCGTCCCTTTCTTTTCCAGGCTACCGGTGTTTCAAGGCGGTGATGTTTTTGACGGGGTTCCTGTTCGGCTCGTTCGTGGTGTTCAAGATCTGCACGGTGGAGAGCCTGCTGCCCACGGCAGGCAACGCGGGGGTCTCCCTGGGGGCCGGCATGCTGTTCGGCCTCATCACCATGCTGGTGCAGCACGCGGGCCTCTTCCTGACGGGCTTCCACACGGGCCTGTTTGCGGGCTTCGGGGCCATAGCGCTGCTCCGGGTCTGGTACACCCCGGCCACCGTTTGGATCACCGTCGGCGTGCTGCTTGCCTGCAGCATTGTCGGCGCCGTGCTCAACCTCTTCTGGCAGAAAGGTGGGGGCGCCCCTTCGCGACAGATTTTTCAAATACTGCCCGCCCGTTTCGACCTGGACGAGCATCGTACCGGTGTGTGATAGTGTGTCTCTACTGTGTGGTGCACTTTTAAAGATCCCAGGCCAGCAGGGGGACTGTAGTGGCTCGATTTCTCATCTACAGCAGAGACACCAGACGCCCATTGAGGCTGACTAACTTCTTGCTTTCTAAACATACGCACAACACAGTGGTTTTTGAAATACAGGGCAATCCACTTATGACGATAATTGGAAACCCGAAATTTCAATCGTTATATCGGTTGTCGTTGTATCCTGACTAAAAACTGATTGTTTCTAGTCTAGAAACTCTAGAAACTGGTTGCTATAAGCAATGCATCGTTATATGTGGCGTCGTCATGAGTGGATTGCATGCACTGTACAATTTTTACAGAGTTCATTTTCGCAACTTTTGCGATTTGAAAGATAGTGTGAAAAACGCATTGCGCGAATGCATTACCCCGAGGTTATATACCACGCCACTCCCAATAGTGAAGTACTGTGCTCATAAGCTATTTATGAAACCTGCCCTTCACAAAATTTGTAAGATAACAAGCCCGCGAGATACCAGGTCACTTGTAGCGTACAGCATTATAACTGTCATTCTGCATCTCACAAGCAATTTCATTATTTTGCGCTATAATTCAGTTTTTGTATCTGCATTTGCTCTGGGAGTTCGTTTCTTGGAACGCAGCTCTCAGGCACCCGTTTCTGCCTTGAGCGGCGTTACCGACGCCGTGGGCGTAATCACGCATTGCATTATAGGACGTTTCCCATAATGACGTCACACGTGACGTCGCTAAGCTGACGTCACCCTTGTAATGTCACACGGCGCCTAAATTTGCCGGAAACTTTTTCCGCTGAATTTCCCCGCTAAATTTGGCGGGGGAACTTCCCGGGAATTAGTCCCACAATTTCATGGTAAATTCCCTTCTATACCCTTCCCTCCTCAAGAGCTGCGCTCTCACTCGACATTACAGACAATCGTAAACAACTTCCATTTTTTTCTTTGTATACTACACTTGATTTGGTAGCTCGGTATAGATGAGTTGGAAGTGTTTCAATTTTGCACCCCCAGAATTGTGCCATGAACCTTGTTGAGTTGCTTAGTAATGATAGCCGGCCACAATAACTGCGTGTGTCAAAACCTCGACACACTGTAGAAAAAGCTCTTTCCTCATCTGGGCAATGCTCATAGCTGTCTGGCAGGGCTGGGCAGAGATACTCCAAAAAGTATTCGGGAATAGAAATACTAAGATACATCTGTTTTAAGGCTGAAATACAGATACTGAGATATATTTGTATTTTATGCAACGAGATATCCCCGAGATACTTCAACAGAAACGGCGATAAAGTATTCCGGAATACAGATACAGATACTTATAGAAATACATTTGTTCCCAAATGGTGCTACATGGAGAGGGTGTAGATTGTGGCGAATGCGAATGGTAATTTCTGCTTGTTCTCCTCTTTTTGTGCCAATTTATGCACAACCCCTTGCCTCAAACTCTTTATTTATCAATAATGCCGCTAAAAAACATGTCACTCTTGTTGAACCACATAGTTACAGAACAGTAAAGACTGCGTGTCATGCTTGACAAAAGCCGTCTGTCCGAAATGAGCCCTGTTTTGCTGTGAGGGCGCATCTCAAATTGTCGTCTTATATGCTTCTGAGTAACCCATAGTGTGGGGAGATTGGACAACAGGGTCATACTTTCTCTCCACTCAACTCCTTTACAGCGTTCACTCTGCTAAATTGGAAACAGTGGAGGGCTTTGCGAGTGTAGCTGATTTTGTTACTCGTGCAAGTAACCTTCTTTAAACCACAATTTTTTTTATGTCGGTGACCGAGTTAGAATATGTTATCGGGCAGGTTCATGTTATAAATTCCGAAGCACTTTGCACTGAACACATGTTTTTATCCTTCATATTTGTCTTAAAAAGGGCAACAAATGTAACGAGATACCTAAGTCTAGCAAAGTAGCGCGATACAAGCGACACATTGTGAATGTATTTCACTACTGAGATACAAATACATTTTTCAAATATATCACGATACAGAGATACAGATACTTGAAAGTATCTCTAAGATACTATTGCGATATATTTGTATCGCAATAATGCCCAGCCCTGCTGTCTGGTAGATAGAAAATGCACAAAAATCACCGCAAAATGCTTTTCAGGGGATTAAATATAAGAATTATATCTTTATGTAATGGATTTAATGAGAAATTTACTTACTGTTGTGTACATTTTTTTAAATAGCATGTTTGTAACAACCACCACTGCCTTTCTTGTCCCTCGTTTCTGGCTGACAGCAATTGGTCTGGGTTAATGTGTCGCATGACATTACAAAAGTTAACTACAGTATTATTGAGCAGCTTTTGCCATTTTTCCTCTATTTCCATTAGATAAATGAGATGCAGTTAGAATAGTCAATGAATACTGACCGTGTACATATTATATTTATTACTAATGACAATACTACTACAGTTTTTTAAAATGAAAGCTACAAATATATTGAAAGCCGCAAGTCCCTTTCATATCCTTAGTTTTTGAGTTTTCCACGCCATTCTGTGCGACCTTATATACTTGAACGGGGAGGCAACACTGGCCAGAGCAGGATCACGGTCGTCGTATAAATCCTGGACGACATTTCCGCAGCCCTGACGATCCTGGGGACAAGCGTGTACGGCGGCGCCATGATGGTGATTGGGTCCGACTACTTCGTGAGTCGATCCCGGCTCACCGACTGGTCCCTGGGAGTGATCCTGCTGAAGCCTCCACTGGCACTCTGCTGGTTCTCCTGGCTCATCCTGGCCCTGTGGCCACTGCTTATCCTCTTGGGCGTGCTCACCCAGTGGCGGCTCACCGGAAGGGGGGTCTACCACTCCGAGTGTGAGTGCCAGCACGAGCACGGTCGATCACTCTGCGATGATGGTTGTGGCGATCGTAGTGGTGGTTGTGATGAAGATAACGAAAGTGAAACCAAGGTTACCACTTATTTTGTGCCTGAGCTTTGCAACAGCACTGCAGTCCTGTGCCGAGCTTTGGCTGCGCGTACGACGGAGCGGTAGCAAAGGCAGAACGCTTACATTCGAAGCAAAGCGTCTACTACTGGAATTTGGGTTCTTAACCTGTCACATTATTATGGATCAACTCAATTACGGAGCTGCCCATAGGTTCCGTTTCCAAATGCAGTATCCCCCCACTCCTCCAAAAGTTTGTCTCCAGTTGTTCGAGGCACCACGGTTTTGGAGACATCTGTTACAGTAGCTGCCATGTGCTCTATGGAATACGCAAGTTTTGAAGCACAGCTTCACCATAGCTTCTCTGAAGGATATGGTTTTGGATCAGCCTCTAGATGGTGCTACAAACGACGGATGGTGGCCTGGGGTGGGGGAGAAAGGGAGTTTACAATTGAGTTGATTTAGTAAAGTTGTACTAGGGGTTGGTAGTTCTTGCCAAAGCCGTTAAACTGAAGCTTCTCCATTTTTCAACTTTCCAATGCCGCAGTGGGTCCCTCTCGACGATCTCGGCAGCTGAACCTGCAGCGAATACGCCAAGAAGAATCGCGGGCGGAGCAGCGTCAGCGCAAGTATCGCTACCTGTACCAGGTGCGAACGGCACACGGCGACGTCATTTCCCAGGTAAGAGTCCTCTTCCATCCTTTCTATCGTTGCCCCGTCTTTGAGGCTTGAATCTATAAGATGTGCATAATGAGGCAACCCAAAAAGGACAATGCCCAGCAGACAGTTCATAGTGGAACGATCGTGTTGATTTTCAGGCAGCTCGAAACATTCAATGCAATTGATGCACCAAGCTTTGCAAGGTCCATGTTGTTAGCTTTGCTAATAAATGCGTTTTTTACTTCTGATTCAATAGATAAGTTGGAGCAAAGGAGGACAAGCTGCTTAAAGAAAAGTTTAAAAACTGGAAAAGCTATTGAAGAAAGTGCACATTCAAATTGAGTGATAAAAACAAAAAAAAAATGAAAGTCGTTTACAACTCCCTGTAATGCCGAATTAGAGCGCAGCTCTTGAGGAGGAGGAGGGAAGGGTACTGAGGGGAGGGTATACCCCTCTTCCTCACCTCATCATCTTGCCTGCTACTTCTCCCTCCGAGCAGCGTCGGCGTAACCGTGAAGTCACGTGAACCCCCTTGGGGGGTCCTCAGGACCCCCTCAAAAGGTTCCTAAGGGGAGTCACGTACATCCCTCAGGATCCCCCCGAGGTCATGTGACCCCTCTCAGGGAGGTCACGAGGACGTTTTGGCACATTGCCAAAACGTCACCGCGGTTACGTTGAAGGCGACGGCACCGCCGCTCAAGCCGGAAATGAGCTATTTTTGCATCAAGTGTTTTATACAGTCACGTCTTGTTAATATGGACACCTCCATTCCCCCAAAACTGATCCACAATGTGATTCATTCATAATAACTAAGTAAAAATGCATGTATTTACCCAGTTTGTGTCCCAAAAACTTGTTAATATAGCGAGGCATCCATAATTAATGAGGTCCATATTAACGAGACACGACTGCCAGCCACGAACTGTCTGTGAAGAGAGTCTTTTTGTGGTGATGTGCTGTTTTGCTCAACTTCTCGGTTGTGGGGCTCCTCCGACCCTGGGTATACTCTCTCCCCGTCTCTGTTTGCACTGCACACAGTATCTGCCACTGCAGATGTCTTCCTCTTTACCCTATCTGAATGGCTCTACTTAATGGCTTGCACATAGTCTGCTCAACTTGCATGCCGAGTTTTAACAATGAAAGCATTTGAAGAACTGCAAACGGTCTTAGATCCGCCCGTAAGACGACAGCTGTTTCGGGAATGTAACTACTAGTGTAATGGTGCACGACATTCGGCATGTTTTTGGCACGTGCAAGAAGGTAAAAAAAAGTATGGCACAGGCGCCTTACCTATGATTTTCAAAGTTGCAAGTTCCGGCCGTTTTACGGTTGTCACGAGCATGCAACACATGAACGCAAAACGGAGCACTTTTTGGGATGTTGTACGTTACACCCTCATTATTTCGCTAAATACAGTCGAAACACTAGCCGAAAAGAAGAGTTCACCTCGAAAACTGGGAACTCGAGCACGACTGCAACTCACTTTATGCATGCAATTTCAAATTTCGTAACCCCACCTTCCCCTGCTCCTCGCATGCCCTGCCCCTTTTCTTCTTTTTTGCAAAGACAGACTCTCCTCCCCTCTTTAACGCACGACGAGACTGCCTAGGGTTTGAGAGACCAGGCCTCTTTTTTCCTCCCCCATTTCCCCGACCCTTGCGTGCCACGACGCGCTTCGCCGCCGACCACCAACGCTTGGGGGGTGTCCGACCTGTGGGCGCTGAAAACCTGGGCACCGAAATCTGGTGCAGAGCTACATCCAGAGCCTGCAGAAGAAGGTCTGCCCGCCACCTGACGACAGCCTCTCCATGCTCCACTCCGACCTGACGCACCTGACCGTGCTCAACCCCTCCGAGAGCACTGCCACCACCATGAGCCAAGTGACCTGAGCGCCCGTCACGTGATCCAAAGCTGCCGAGTCGCGTGACTTGCCGGGAGTGACGCCGCCATGACAAACCGAAGCTGCCGTCCACGGAGAGACCGAGAGCCGAAGAGACTCTTCCATTTCGTCGTCGGCGTCGTCTCAAGTTCCGAGAGATTGTCAAGAAAGAAAAGAAAACAAAAATGCTTGTCGGAGAAGCATACTTTTTCCGCGGAAGACGAAGCGGTGCTGTAGTCGCAAAGAGAAGGCCGACATTGCGCGTGCGTCGTAGGTTAGGAAGAACGAGAGCTGTTACCGCGGATGGTCTCCGAATGAATGTAGGGTAGGACTGTACATAAGGGGAGTGAGAGAACGAATAGGCAAAAGAAAGAGTCAGAAAGCCGAGACGGTTGTACAGGGTTTGGAATACGCGCTCCGAGACGGAAAGTATTTCTCCGGTGCGGCACAACTGTTGGGAGACGACTCGGATGTGCAATTTTTTTTCGTTCCATCGCTCTCTACGGTGTGGCAGCTTGCTCAAGAGCTTAACGAACAGCCTGCGTGTTGGACCTTCCTGAGGGCTACGTTCTACAAGTTAACTGTTTCGAGGACCGTAGAGTTGTTGTACATAGTGTTTAGAGACAAATGTGAACATGTTTCACTTGTGATATGATGGGGGAGATAGAGAAGAAACGCGGTTAGAGAACAAAGCCCTTTCTCAGCAGTCTTAGAAATACGGCACACCTTAGAGAAACTCTTTTTTTGCCAAAACTGTACACGACGCCAGTATATAGTCCCGTTTAACAGCGACTAATCTACAATGTGCATAGATTGGAGTGTTTAACTTTTCACTGGAAGCCTGTCTGTACTCGGACCAATGGGGTCGTCTTTAAGCACCTGCAACCGCGTATTCTTCAGATTTTTTTTTCTTTGTTGCTGTACCACACTGTACATATCACATTTTGCAGGACATTAAAAAAAAAAAAGAAGAAAAGATTCTGAAAGAGAAAAAAAAAAAACATTGTTTGGCTGACTTATTTCTTGCTCACTTTGTCGCAAAGCAACCGAAGTTCAAGTTATTATAACCTAAAGAACTTTGAGATTTGTGGGAAGTGAAAGCACAAAACAGATATGGATGTAAAGACGGCCATATTGTGCCTCCACGCAAAGCTTTGCAGCCCCATTTATTTTGTGCTTTTATTTCCAACAGAATCTTCATATCCCGACAGGCTCTCCGAGATCACGGAAACTTGGCAGTAGAAAGATGCTGACATAAAGATCAAGGTAAAAATCTGCGGAAGCTAAAGCAATCTTATATGTGTGCTGAAAATAACAAATTGAGTGCTCATCCGTGTTGCAAAGTTGCCACTCCTGAGTTGGAATGATTCTGGAATCATTCCACTTATCTGCGACAGTGGAATGGAATGTGAATGGAACGGTGGCAGCGCTGGGAGGAATGGAATGGGAATAAAATTAGATACCTTTCGCCTGGAAGGGAATGCAATGGCCTCAGTTCTTATGTGAGCTGTGTCGATGTTCAACTAGCGCCTACGGGTTGCTAACGCAACGCTGGCGCACGGTGAAAGGGGCTCATGAGATGGCATCGTTTCATGATGCCATTTCATGCCTGACACCTTCATGAAGGCGACGGACGGCTTGATTGTCTCACTGGCTCATGCTCCTTTGAGGATGAAAGTGGCATGCCTCCACTGAAGCAACCAAAAGTGAATACTATAGTACTAGATGGACAAGGTGTTGCTCCTGGTGCCGCAACAAGCGAAAAAGTGGCTGTTCATGTAGCTTTTAACCCAGCGAATTGTCTAGTCTTCGCATTGAAAAATATAAAAATTTGGCTTGGATATGGTAAGAAACCGCAGGAATTGTACATATGGGTACACGTTTAAGGCAGGTTCCATATTAGGGTTCTACAGTCCCTCGTGCTGGTACCATAGTGATTGCATTTTTTTAGGCAGTTTTGTGCACAAACGACAGTGCACAAAGATTTGGGGCCAAGTACACGTAGCATTGCTTCTGATAGCGGACTAGCGGTGCTGTTGTGCCGGTATTCGAAGCAGAGAGCAAGATAGCTTCTTCTTGAGCCACAGACAAGCTAGGGATTTTTAAAGGAGCTGTGCAACGATTTGAACGTAGAAAGAATTGCCGTCTTCTACTTTTAACATTGTTTATCTTCTCACAAAGGACAGAAAACACACCTCCCTCCTTCGAAATGTTGCGATTCCGCCGCGTAATCGCAAGGCAAAAATTAGAATATTCCCCAACCAGCAGCCACGAGTGACGGCCATGAGAACCATGCGTCATGACGTCAATGGCGGTCTTAGAAAGATAGCAAGTCGCGCGAATACCTGCTCGATAAAAGGTAACTTTTCTATAAATCTTGTTGTTCCAACAGAAATATAAATGCGTCAAAAACCTGTTATCAGCGACAAAACTTTTATTATACGGAGTTTTAGTGGCGCCACCTATCCTAGGTCCACAAAACCGCCAGCTCTATCTGCTACTGCGAACAGCCGCGAGAAGCCGGAGGGGGATGGTGGCAGAGCCAGACGGGCATGGCCGGACCCAAATGAGACTTCCCTCCTTTCACCATATTATTCGCGCTGCGCCAGCGCGAATAACATTGAATAATAATGATCAAGCAGTCGAGAGCGGACGAGTTCTCGCTGCTCACTGACGGCTCTAGAGAGAAAGCTTCACTGAAATCCGCGCGACCCCCATTGATGTCACAGTGCACGTGACTCGGAAGATGGTGAAGGAATTGAGAGGTGCTGAAAACCTCAATCGTTGTCCATTTTTAAGATAAAAACTAGGACATGCAAGCAAAAGCGGTTTTTTGTTCTTTTCTTCAGAGAAGTCGAGACACCAACTACTACCAAATTAGTTAAGTAAAGCACTGAAATTGTTGCACAGCTCCTTTAAGGCAGGTTCCACATTATGGTCCTACAGTCCCTCCTACTGTCACCATAGCGGTTGCGTTTTTTTTGGCAGTTTTTTGCGCATACAACAGTGCACTAAGATTTTGGGCCAGGTACACATGGCATCCCTTCTGATAGCAAACTAGCGATGCTGTTGTGCCGGTATTCGAAGCAGAGAGCAAGATAGCTTTTTCTTGCGCCACAGACTAACTAGGGATTTTTAAGGTCTTATCAAGCAGACACCACGCCGGCCATGTATCTGTCGAGGGTATACGGTTTGTTTGCAAAGAAAATAGGTGGTTTCAGTTTCTGGCGTCTGCTGCGAGCCTTTTACACTCGATCGCACGATCAATGTCTGCAGCTACACCAAGACAAAGCGCCTGGTGCAACCACCACTCAGCTTCGTAGAATAAAGTTCTTGGGGACGCATTTTGCATACTTCTGCAGTTCTCTCTGCCATTAATAACGTCAACTTCATGCCGATTTTTTTTTCTTTTTTCTGTAACGCATTTTGTAAGCTTGGCACTCATTTTAGCAGCTTTGGGCCTTGCATTACATGGTCAGATTTGTGACACCTCGAATCACAACTACGGAAGGTGCAGATATCTCTTAGGATTCATTTAGGGGACAAGTGGGTGATTTTACAGTTGGTCCAGAACCAAATCATAGTGCACGACACCTCTATGTAGATGTGTACCTTTTCACCTTGGACATGCCCACTTCGAATAGCAGCAATCCACAAATCTTTTTTTTTAAAATTAGAAGTTTTTTTTTTTTTTTTTTTTTTTTTTTTCAAGGAACAATTTATGACAACACTGAGCAGTTCAAAGGTGAGCGGCAGCTGAAGCATTTGGTGTATAAGCCCCACACAAATGCCAGTTGTACCGATCTTCAAATCAAAGAATCTCATCTATTATTATGTTTAGTCTTCCTCATGAGCCGCTTTATTGCAGGGATCAGAAAAAAATAGGTATTCATTTTAAAGAGTATTAGCTAAGAATATATCCGTTTGCTCTCAGATATATTTTCAGTCTTTCCACAGAGCACGCGTAACTAGTTTTACTGAAGAGAGCGTGATATTAACTGGCCTCGCCTCTGTTGCATCATTATATGGTCATCCTTGCACCGGCAGTGTAGCTCGAGAACGAAACACAATTTCCATAAAGCACTTCACACAAACACGGTTTATGCACATATAGTTTTTTTAATTCAAATATGCAAATTACAAGTTCTGCCTTCTTTCCTCACGATATGCTTTATATACACTGAAAGAGAGAGTAAAAACGGTGAGACAGGCGTCGAGCGAGCTACGTTCGACAGAAGAGCTGTCGTCGTCGTACCTGTTGCTTCCCTAGGTCTTGCGAAACCGTTTGAAGAGCGGATGCCTGAGTCCCAGATCTTTCTTCCCCATCCTGTATTCTAGGTAGACTGCACTGTCCGCTCCCGACATGGAGCTCATGTTCCCAGCTCTCCGTGACATCTGCCAAGGGAGCAGTCGATTTCATTTAGACGTCTTGCTAAGCACACCATGCCCACGCTCGGTTCAACAAAGCATATTAGACACCCTTGTATGTGTTGCCAAAGCGATGGATTACCATTACTGCTGCTCAAAGACTATGTATTTGCTGGGCTCACTCGACACCAAAAGTAATTCAACTGCTTGAAAATGTAAAGCAGTAGATGTCATCTAGACGTTTAGCTAGCTGCACTGTGCTTGTGCTGCAGTTCTACAGAATGTGTCGGGCAGTCTCGCAGCAATGAATTACCATTACAATTGCCGCTGCTGAAAAAGTATAGGGTGGATCTACCTGACGACGAAAGTAATTAAGCAACTGCTTAAAAGATAACTTTTACAATTATCATAGTTGCCTAGGTAAGGCAATAAGTGCAGCTTGTTGCCTTATTTTTAGTCCATAAGGGCAACATGCAGCTACTACTACAAGTAGAGGTTTCTGTTGCTTAATTTTTGCTGCTTGTAGCTGTGTTATTTTTTTTATTTTTTTTTTTTGTATAGAAGCAGCTCATTTAATGGTAACTCTCTATAAGGGTAAGCTATAACAGATATGGGGAACTCTCTTTTAAGGGATGCAGGGAACAAACTGAACCAACCCCCTTGGTCAGCTTTAAATAGGCTTCTGAGGAAAACACCGTATAAAAGAAATCAATTCAGACGGTCCATTCAGGTTCCCCTCAAAGAGGTTCTCGATATAGTAACGAAAGGTGGCACTTGAAAAGAACAAAATTGTTTAGCACCAAGTAAGGTGGAAAGAGCACTACATACCCGGTGCCCAAAGTCGCTGCACCAAATATAAAGGGTGTTTCTTTCAGCTTAAGAGATAAGTTTAAAAAAAGCTACGAAAGCTACATAATGCAGTTTGTGCAGGCAAGTTGTAAAGCCAGGGGGACATAATACAGGGGGCTGATCATCGCGATAAGTAGAATTAAGTAAATTTGTTAATTAGCCTTTAATTAGTAAAAACAGACAAATGGTTCCAACTGGAAACCTGCAGAGCGTCAATGTAAACCAGTACATCAGTAATTTTTAGAAATACTTTGAGCTTGTGGGAAGCACAGTAGTGTGCTAAATTTACCACTCGGATAACAGGCTAGGGTGAGAAAACACTGATAATAAGGGTGGAAAGTGTTATAGCAAGAGCACAAATGAAACAATCAAAAGAGCCAGGGCATCACCTGGAAACGTTGCCCCGCTGTACTGGTCTCCCCTGCCACCCTCTCTTCCTCTGCATCGGCGTCGTTTGCAGCCAGTACCTGCTGCAACAGGTTGGTCTGCTCTTCCTTCGTTCGGTACGCAAGGTCCTCCTGCATTTCAGACACGGTCGAAACTTACGATCCCCAGCTCTTGCCCTAACAGCTGGTCCCCATACCTTCCTAAGCAATGTCACTCATTGTACTGAAAGACAACCACAAATAATACAATCTAAGATCTGGATGGCAACACAGCCCATCCAGAACTGCCATACAAACCTACTTTGAATATAGTTGCCTAAACGACAGCAAACCACGTACAATGGTGCTAGCTCCCTCACAATTCGGATGCATACCCTAGCCACCACGGTTTGACACTTCTAACACAGCCACATATAAAGCAACTGGGGAAAAGCCTAAAGTATGTCTGTGATTTTTATTTCCTTCGTTTCTGAACTCCCCATTCTGATGTGCAATTCTTACGCTCTGATACTCTGTGATGTGAGCAGGTGCCCAATACATATAAGCAGGCAGATAGAAAAAAGCCTGCTTAGTCATTTCTTGATGGAAACCAGAGCTTCTTCCTCCCCCCTTACCAATGCTTTGTTTCATACAGTGAACTTCTGAAATCTTGAAGCTACACGGCAACCGTTACGCCTTTCTTGTGGAGCCAAGTATAAATAGAAGCTATTACTCGCCTCGTCCATGCCCTCCATCTTGGTGATGACCTTGTAGCTGTAGCCCTGGTTGACAAGGAAGCGCTGCCTCTTGCGCGAGTAGTGCATTTCCATTGTGTCCTCAGACACGAGCGAGTAGAAGAAGGCATTGTACTCCTCTGCTATGGCACCTGCAGGGTCACAATTGAGGTCGCACCGTTAACTGCCAGCAAAACCTTGGTGCAAATCGTACCCCTCCATTTCCTACAGAGTACATCTTGAGCAAGTTTAGAATTATCCTACTTTTTTTTTACATGAGAGGAGTCATGTACGAATAGTAGCTTGCGAGTTTGGAGCGAATAGTGGTTTTGGCCAAATATTTTTTAATGGAATATTGAATAGTTTCTTCAAGCCTTTCACTATCGTGCGCCATTTTTTAAACTAAAATTCAGCTGAACTCGTGTGTTCCCAACCTTCCACTTGTCCACTTCTAAGCTGAGCTAATTTTAATATATTTATGAACAGTGCCATATAAACAAGAAGATTGTTGCAGCTATCCTAATCGAAAGGATATATAAATCTGCTTGCTATATGCAAATATTCTTTCTCAGATTTCAAACTTGACAAAAAACACCACCACCAAAACAGGCACGAACAATGAGCGCAGATGGTATAACCGCGGTGGGTTAGCCCCGTTGAGTGTGCTTCTCACTGAGCACCTGTGCACTGCAGGAAAGCAATACCTGGAGAGCACGCGAGCTCCGCGGGTATCGCTTCTCGGCAGTACATAGGTGCTCGGTAAGAAGCACACTCAACGGGGCCAACTCGTCGTGATCGACACCACTTCAAAAAGTATGTATATCGCAGTTTATCTCAAAGTGAATATTGAAATCACATGATTCGAAACTATTGAAAATTCGAATATTCCTACAACACTACATGACTCTATGTAATTAATTTGTATCACAAAAACAAAGTACAGCTGCAACGGAAAAAGCTTAGCACAACTCACCAATGACCGGAGCGGCAAAATTGCGACACACGACGCTACTGTTCCCGAACGCGCCGATAGCGAGAGTGCCCTCGCACGCTATATGTTGCAAAGCGGAGGTGGCTGGCAGAAAGCAGCGCATCTTAAAGCCTGCATTTCAAAAGCAATCTCGTCCCTCACTTTTCGACCGAGCAATGCGACGTGTTCACGCACATAAGCCTGTTTATTTTTTGCACGGGCATTGTGAGCGGCGGTTTTTCTTTATAAATTTTTTCCCCCTAAACTGTCTATAGACCCCTTTCGAAAGACTACCTTTAGTTGGCAAGCTGTGGACTCCCTGCACAATGACAAACTAAAACCGCAATGTCACGCACACTTATGCGTTTGGTCGGATTAGAAGGCAAAAACACACCCACAGAAAAGTTGATGAGCGCAGTGACGTACTTTAGTCGCCATTTGATTGGCTTCTCGGCTCCGTACCACCCGCATAGTCGCCATTTGATTGGCTTCTCGGCTCCGTACCACCCGCAACGCCCGGATAAAAAATAATAATAAAAAAAAATAATAATAAATGGGCTCACGTGTGCACAACCACATTGGTGCATCGCTCGGCCGAAAAGTGAGGGATAAGATAGCTTTCGAAATGCACGCTCTAGGATGGGCTGCTTTCTGCCCGCTTTGAAACATGGAATGTGCGTGGCACTCCCGCTATCGGCACGTTCAAGAACAGTAGCGCCGAGTGTCCCGATTTTGCTGTCCCCGCCCTCGGTCTATTGTGCTAATCTTTTACCATTGCAACTGGCCAGGAGACATAACTTAACTCCCTTGACAAGGAACAAAAGATTTACGTATGTGCAAGAAAACAAACACAATTAGATAAAAAAGAAGCCTACTTCTCCATTAGCAAATATAGAATTTTCCTCTCAGCTTCAGCAGTTTGAGAAACCCACAATATTTCAAACCATGGCTTCGGTACTAACATTTCTGTAGCTCGTGCAAGACTTTCTAAAACCAACCGCCTGTCACGAAGTTCTCCAGACAATTTTATCGAGCCACCTTTCTTACCCCACCACGTTTTTTTCCTTGATCCAAGTCTAGTGGGCTGTCAGCTCCTCACAAAGTTTTTGTTATATTACATGTGATGCCAACGTACGACAGTTAGAAAGTGACAAAGGGAAGTGTAAAGAAGGAAGACTCGCTTTTCTTGGCCCTGAGGATGCGCCCGAGACGCTGTGCCTCCTGCCTCCGAGAGCCTCCATGGGCAGAGACCTGGATGAGCACGTTGGCCTCCGGCAAGTCGAAAGATGTGTCGGCCACTTTGGACACGAAGATGGTGTTTACTTTGGGGTTGTATTTGAAGTTCTGGAGAATCTGCATCCGCTCCTGCTGTGAGGTGGGGCCGTAGATGTACGGCCTGGGGGACGCAAACAGACGGGTGTGGGACGTTAGTCGGGAAACAATCCAGGGATGTCATCTCCACAGTTGAGCAATCTCACCAAGCGTTTCAAGCATGCGTGGAGGTAGGAATAAGAGGAGGTGACAAACCGGCTCAAACCAGCCAAATGAGAAAATCCGAAGCGAAGCCGGAAGTAGAGGTCACGGTCGGTGGAAACACTCCCAAGTGTGCCCAAGTCCGACCAATAGCGTCTTTTGATTTTGGTTATCGTTAAGGGCGCGTCCCTCCAAACCGGAAGTCTCCCCCGGCTTCACCTCTGGTGGCGTCATGTCGCCTCCAGAAGCTGCCTACCTCGGTGCAAGCTTGCATGATACCGCCATAGCTGTAGTTCACAGGAGGCAGGTGACAATACACGAAACAGCTTGTGCTCTGCTTGCACACACCCGCAGCGGGGTTGTTACGCGTGTGGAAAGACTAAAGTTTTAACAGTGCATGGTGGTGCCACAACAAAAGCAGCTGGCAAGGTAAGTCTATTGGCTTCCAGTGAAAAGTTGGTGAAATGTTTGAATTATCAACCGATGATGTTAGTTGAACCCTGTAAAATTAGTAAGGCTGTGCGGGTGAAGCACTGATGACTCCAGGCTTGCATTCGGTAAGATAGGACAAAGGTGTGTGAGTGCTTATGTCTTCCAGTGGCATAGCCAGGAATTTTCTTTTGGGAAGGGAGATATAAGCCTTCCCATCTTGCTCTACCCTTGATGCCCCCTGATATGCAAGCACTTGATATGTTGGAGGTGCATTATCTCCCCAACTAGACTACTTAATTCATTATATGATCACAGCAGACTAACTTTCTTAGACAAGCTATTACATAACAGAAGGGAAACTCATAGACAAACAGAAAACCAATCTTGCAGGCGAGTACCACAAACTGCCTCCCATTGACGGAAGGACAATAAATGTAAAAAGCAGAGTTCATCACCTGTTCATCTTGATGGCATAATGCTTGAGAGCAAAGACATTGTCGGAGAAAACTATTATCTTGTCGTTCCTCCTCTCATGGAACTTGACCAGGAACTGGCAAGCCCTGAATTTGTTTGGGTTCATTACAAAAAGGAGCTGGAACAGAAAAATATAATTGCAGTCAGGCATGAGGCATTTCAGAATGTAGAACCAAACAGTTTGGCCATGAAGTACTTATTTGAACCAAATCTCGAAAGAAACCTCTCACCAATTTCTTGCAGCTCCTGGCTGATAAATATTCCCTGTAGAACTCTGGAGTCATGGGGCACCATACCTGGAATCATTGACACAAGAAATCATGTCATGGTCTGGGTGAGGACACATTTCCAGAAACTTCTTCAAATACGCTGGCTAGGACAGAGCATCATTTACAAGCTATTTTTGCCGTTACTAGCATTCAGCTCATGTTGAACTCTTATATTAGCTTGGGCAAATCAAATGAGCCTGACAAGCGTTATTCAAGAAATAGTGTGCATATGTGCAAATTCACTCAATGTGCAAGTCCTTGTGCCTTACTACTCACTGGCCTTCTGTGGCTGGCAACCACTAGTACCGCCAAGGCTGGCAGATTCTGTTAAGCGTGTGCTCACCACTCTGCTGCTGTGTTAGTACGCAATAAAACACACTAGACAGACAAGACACCCAATTTTACAGTGCAAACAAAATCTAACGCTTTCATTCTAGATTGCCATTGTTATCCAACCAAGCCTCACCTCGGCACACTGGACCTTGGCAATGTAGCCGTGGTTCTGGAGCTCGAGCCAGTTGGCCTCGTAGAGCTTGGGCCCAATGAGGAAGTTGAGGTCCTGAATCTTGTCGTCCTCTCGCACCAGGGTAGCGGTGAGGCCCAGCTTGCAGTGGGCCTGCACTATGGTCAGCACCCGCCGAAACATCTTGGCCGGTATGGTGTGCACCTCTGCAGAAAGAGAGGGGCCTTGCATCAGAAAGATGTACAAGGTAACTGCGGGAGGGGAAACCAAGATGGACTACAGTGTGGGGTCACACAAGATCTGCCAAATCAGATACAGGAAGCACTCGAGATGCAAGAGGGACAGGCAAAGAAGTTACTATTATTGAATGAAGACTAGTACACAGATGCATCCCAGTGCTGAGATAGTTCTAAGATGGTGCCCCATTGGTATAGTCAGCACTGAGTTTGTGCTGCAGTGTTTGTGTGAATGGGGAAATGCCGGGTCTCAAGCAGCGGGGTGCCGATACGGTGTGGAAACAGTTTTCTAGGGACGATGCTACAAGTTGTGGCGACATATTTGCATCGAACCCCGCAAAGACTCACCTCGCGAGTGATATAAAACGCCATCTTTACAAAGTTTAGAGAATATAAAACTACAAAACCACGCTGTTTGGTAACTTGGGTGTGTTTTCTATCAGTTTTCATCAACATTTCTAACTGCACACCTTGTGCAAGGGCAAAAAGAAGGCACTCTGCCGCAGACAAACTGCTTGGATCATACAGGTGACGAGCCAAATAATCTGAGCAATCCTCAGTACAGTTCCAATTCAGTGACTGCATTTCACAATGCTTCCGAGGACGACATGCCAGCCCAGGGCAGGAAACTGTTCGCGTGGGTGCATGATGCTGCTGCAGAACCATCAGATTTGTGACTTCATAGAAACCAGACACCTGGCATTCTGTTGTTTGCAAAGGTCATGGCTTGATATAGTTTATTCTCGCACACACATTGTTTTTACTGTTGACAGTAGAGTCTACTCTACAAACTCTACTGTGGGTAGCATCATCTGCTACCGCAACACAGCACTCACCGTCGAGGAGCATGAGGCCCCACTCCTGCTCCTTGAGCCAGGACATGACCTGCTCTGCCTCCCAGGAACGCCTTTGGGTGTGGGTGATCATCGAGTAGGTGGTGATGCAGATCCCACAGCCTGCAGCAATAAAACACACTACCTGTATGACCGGATCATGTGGAACGAGGGCAACGAGATGGGAAAGGCAGCCCCCTTCTAGTAATTCGGAGGGGTGGCATCAGCACACTATGGCTCACAATGAAAAGACAAAATTTAGATATTGCTTAGCCATTTGGCTAGTAAAATTACTTCCTATACAGTGCAGCCTCTCAGAGCCTTTGTAAGTTAGACGACTACACTAAAAAGCGAAAGATGTTGCGTTTACTCAATTTATTCAAGTTCCCTTAAAAGCCCTAGTTGAGGGCATTACACAAGGGGAGTACATGACACGATAGCATAAAACAGTAACAACGTCATACGCGAATACAGTCGAATCTCGTTAATTCGAACTCGAGGGGGGACCGAATATTTGTTTGAATAAAGCAAAGTTTGAATTACCGGGAGTTTCTTCCCATAGAGATGCATAGGATGGGACCTGTATGTTAGTTTGAATTATCCGAAAGTTTGAATTAAGAGAGTTTCAATCAACGAGATTGAACTGAACATAGGGTGCTGCAAAACAAAGTGGCCATCGCCCCGAGCAAAAGGCAACGGCAATACACTAATTAGTCTGGGTACATGGGGAGCATAATAAGGGGATGAAAACATTACGATACATGGCAACCAGTAACGATACATGCCAACTAAAGCCCCCAATTTGGGCTGTGCCAATGTAGTACATATGCTGTAACCTGCAAGTGGGCTAGGTAGCGAGGTTTCGTTGTACTACATTCTTGTTCTAATGGGTAGAATTCAGATGACTTCAGATCACGCAGCATCACTATTCAGCGATCCTAACTTTGTGGACTCGGTGTGCAATAGGAAGCCTGCTGCCGTTCTTGCCGTGTGTTGTTTTCGTAATTCTGTGTTGGTATGAATATTGCCAGCTTGATTAAACAAGCGTTGCATGGATGACTCTCCAAGAACTTCATACACTTCCTGACAATCTCGGGCATGTGTACATAGCAAAATTTCGACGGTGCCTTCTTGGTTCAATGGCATATCCGTTCGTTATTTAATGTAAGAGGCTAGCCAAGATAATAGTTCACGAGCTGCCCCGTCGACAAATGGTGGCTTTGCACATCCGTCGATACCGCTAGACGGATTTTCCGGAGCCATATGACGCAACAACCTGTCTATATTTTTACCCTTGAGGCCTTCAACTCGCCACGTATGATGTTTGGGGAAAAACCACATCCTTATTTATGCGAGTTATCCCCATTCATTTGCGTGATTTCAAACTGACGATGGTGCAGCCAAACATAAACAATCCCTGCCACAAATCACAGCTTGGACGACACTGATAGCGGTTGAAGGCAATTTCTTTTCCCCTCAACGCAGCGCTTCAGGACGAATGAATACCCCCTAGAGCATTTCTCTTTCATGGTTGAAGCAGCAATGTTGAAAGTATAATGCTGTTGAAGCTGTGACAAAGCTCTATCTGAAGAAAATACAGTGCAATCCACATATAACGATAACAAGAAAACATGAAATTTCAATTGTTATAACCGATTATCGTTGTATCTGGACTAGAATATGATCACTTCTAGACTAGAAACTCTAGAAACTGATCGTTATAAGCATTACATTGTTATATGTGGTATCGTTATAAGTGGATCACACTGTATAGCTCAGAAGACTTGAGCCTTCATTAGGAAAAAAAATATGCAAATGAAAGTGTTATAAAAAAAAAAATATGAGAAAAATAACTGACATTGCAACTTGAGCATATATACACCATTCTCAACTCCGGCAGACCTTGCAAAGACCCAGGAGAAGTTTGGAAGCTGTCAGGGTCACTAAATGCCCACATTCATTGCCAAAATTTGGATCACAAAACCCAACCTTTCGCAAGTACGGTGGTTGACAGCATAATGCGAACAACGGAGCTAATAATTTTTTACCACATACCGTATTTACTCGCATAATGAAAGCACCCTCCATAACGGGCATCAATATTTTGACCTTTTTTTTTTTTTTGCATAATGAACACTTTCAATTTTCAGCTCAGCGAGTCTTGAAGCCAATTTTCTTTTGCCGCCAAACGGCCAGGCCAGGCCAAGCCAAGCCAAGTTGCTCTCGTAATGGCTGCAATTGCGTGGTTGCAGAAGTGATCAACCGTAAAACCGAGCGGCGCGCACGCCTAGCGAAGTTGGGGTCGAGGAATCGCCCAGCCCCGGACATGCTTCGGCCATCGGATGCATTGATGTCAACGAACACGTCATCATCTGTGATCCGCTTTTGAACATTGACATTGTGGAAGGGATTAGAGGCCTAAGAACAGTCGCGTCGCTCTCCATGCTGAGCGAGCTTCTTAGGGCACTTTTTCTTCAGCAAACGGCACGCCAAAAGTGCCCTAAAAAGGTTTGCAATTTACAGAGCATGCTTACTGTGACGTGAGCCCGACCAGCGATGGGTACCCCTCTGTCAGTGTAGACGTGCCATAGTATTCTGCCATGTCATTTTGGCACCTAAAATGACATTTGCAAGAAGTGTGTAAATGCAAAAATTTTACCTCGCGTAATAAACTAATGAACGCGTAATGGTCCCATCCTATGCACCTAAATATGTGCCAATTTTTCGGAAAAGAAAGTGTGTTCATTATGCGAGTAAATATGGTACTGACTTCATCCTAAACAGCAGAAATCCGTTGCAGAAGGAAAAAAGCAGAACTGTTCATACCCATGGGCTTGTCTTTGGCTTCCGATGTAAATCTACAGATAACGCTGTCATCCGCAGTGGACCACATTTTGAACTGCAAAAAGAAGGGATGTAACTTCTTTCACTGCACACTACCCCAAAATGACGCTCAAACATTAATGTCAAAAGTGGCTCACCTGAGCTTTCCACTGTTCGACGGATACTCCGGAGTTGCAGAGCACAAGACAGCGCTTGCGTACGGTGCAGCAGGCCGTGACTCCCACGAGAGATTTCCCAGCTCCTGCGTTGTAGCGGCGCACAGTTGTCACGTGATTCCATGAAGGTATGAACAGAGAGGAAGAACACCCACGGTGTAGCCAACATGCCTGTTTTAAATTCTACATAATTTTGGAGATGCCGGAAAACACAACTCCTTTGATAAACAGTAGCACTATATTTTGTTTGTCCCTAAGCTGAAGGTGCGGTGGAAAGCCACATGCTCGTTGGATTGGTAATGCATCTATCTTTCGACCTGTGATCATGCTCCCGCTTGTACCCACGTTCAGAGAGCAGGGTCAGGTGATGCAAGGGTGGTGGTCTATTGGTCCAGTAAGCATGTAGCTCCCGCCGCACAGTTGGCTTAGGGGTCAACAAAGCATAAAAAAATCCCGAGATGCCACACCCCCGAAAGGTAACCCACCCCTGTTTTTGGATTGATTTGCTATTTCGTTTTAAACATTGAAAGATAGTCCACTCCTAGTAAACTTAGTGTTCGGATCAATGATGACCTTGGCATAAATGAATCTATAGTTTGTTGCAACCTAAGAACGAAGGGCGAGGGTAAAACAGGCCGGGGAGGAGGAGCAGACGGAACGCTGGAGAAGAGAGGGGGAAACCTCCTTCCCTCTTTAGCGTTCCGTCTGCTTCCTCCTCCCTGGCCAGTCTTACCCTCGCCCTTCGTTCTTAGGTTGCAACGGACTATAGTTAGCCATGGCAGGATATAAGCAAACATTGCTGACTGGAAAGTACAGTCATCTTTGCTTCATTTTTCATTTCCCCTCGCCGTGATAACAAGTACAGACGGATAATAAAATAGCATTTTTTAAACTTTTTTTGATTGCACACCAAAAGTTAGCCCACTCCTTGTTTTCACCCAATTTTCAATCGATTTTAGGTAGGCGACCTCTCGGGATTTTATGATATGCGCAGCGGAAATTTGTCTGCTTCTTTTGCAGGGGTTGTGATGATGTCAGAACGCCAAGCTCTAATTGGCTCTGATTGAAGGATAGTGGGTAGATTCCAAGGCAGCTAGCATTGAGGTCACCATCTTTCCAATCAGAGCCAATCAGAACTCGGTTTTTTGAGGTCATTCCAACCCTTCCAAAAGAAGCAGACGAACTTGTGCTCTGCATAGCTCTGTCTGCTGGTCTGAACACACAAAAAGATGGGAAGGAGATGAAGAGGAGGAGGCAGGTAAAGAAGGGAAGGGCACCATTAGCTCTGTGCAAGGTGAAGGAAAGAACAAGGAATTCCAAAGCCTTTTTGCAGAGAGCTTCCACTGGCTTTTCAATACAGAAATGAATATGCAGCAGTGAGTAACACTCACCGCACGGAAGGACAATGACGCCAGACCGGCCTCTCCCATTGCCAAACATCTTCCTCAGACTCTTCTCTTGGTACGGCCTCAGTATTGCCGAGGGTTTCAGGTCCACGCTGCAAACCAGGAGGCAGACATCGGCATTACAGTGAAAATGCCCACAAAAGCAAGACGTCCAATGTGTCTTTCGGCCCAGACAAAGCTGCATCCCGAAAATGGTTGCACTCACTGTATGTCAGGGTTGACAGTGTCATTCTTGAAGTCATACTCTGCTAACAAAGGGTACTCCAACTCGATACACCTGCAAGAGATGTCACGAGAAGTTAATTCAGTCTCTTTTTGGTGATCCAAATTTTTCGCCTGAAGCTTTCTTGTCAGTTATAATGGCTCTACAACATTGTCACGGAATAGTATTAAAAATAAAGTGGCTTTAAACAAAACTCGTCATTTAGAAGGCAGTGTGAGGAACCACGATGCCTGCTCCTACATAATGCCATTACCTTTTTTGCAGCACTTCGATGTGGTCCTGATTCACTTCGAAAGAAACCGTCTGCGTGTCCTCTATGTCGTCTTCATCCTTTTCCATCTTTTCGTAGTACGCAGTGATGTCATCTGGAACTGGGACTGCCTTCTGTCCATTGGCATCTGCTTCATTCTTGTCCGTCGCCCCTTGTAGGGTCTTAGCATTCTAAAAAGAAAAAGAAAAAGAAAAAAAGAATTAAGGGGGATATGGCCTGGGAGGGTCAATTTGGAACCTTTCACTCAATTTGATTAAAATCTTGACGGTTATTTAAGCACTACAAGGAAGGATGACCTGCAAAGTTCCAGCATTATTGGTCAACTCTACAATATTTTACGCTTGATACATTTTAGAAAAAAGGAACTTCATTAAAAAATGTATTAGAGAAAAAAGAATAAATGATGGCAAAATTCTTGCTTCAATGTGAAGAACAATACCATTTCATTTAGCGCTCTTTGGGCGGCTCCATTTTGTTAGATCGCAGCACTCTCTTTACACAACTGAGAAGTTCAGCAGGTTCGGCTAGGTAAAACGAGAGAGAGGGCACGCGCCCGACTCTGCTAGCAGACAACAAACCTGGAGGTTGCCGTTCTCCATCTTTGGGCTGTACCGGCGACTGTACCGAACATCGAACTCTCGCTCGTGGCTACCGTTGTCAAGTGTTTCACATTCTTAGAATGTTCATGGCTACTCTAAAATCAGCCTTTGGCGCTCTGTTGTTTTATTTCAGTACATGATCAACTAGCGTATCTTTGTTCCGTTACTTCAATAGCAGTGGAGTCAGCCGGCACCTCGAACACTGCGTCTATTGTGCCAGCAGAGCATGTTTTTATTCATTATTCCAGACTTTCAATCATTGTCGCTAAAGGCCTATACCAGTACGAACTTCGTATAGTAAAAAAGCTACAGCAACCGGATTAACTTTTTGCCGGAGCGACCGGCCACTCTGACACAGTTTTTCCATTTTTTCTTATTCGCACGCGGGTAAGATTGCATTTAGACTCGGCAAGTCTTTTTCATCGAGCATAGCATTACACAATAGTTTGCATATCAAAATCCGTGCATCTGCGCTTGAAATTTTCAGAATGACGAGATTTTAAACCGAGTTTGAACGCCTACCGGATGCTAAGTACAGCCCACTTGGTGGAGCAGATGACGCCCTGGGTGAGAGGGGGAGGGCATTTTTTCTCTCTCCACTCTTCCTAGTGGATCAGTCTATACCCAAAGTACATTCTAAGGTAAAAATTTGCTGCAAAATATTCAAGTATAAAAAAAAAAAAAAAAAAAAAAAATTTTTTTTGTGTTTCTAGATCTTTTTTTTTTTTTATATGAAGGAGCAGAACTTTTGTACTTTAACTTGTTCCTTAGAAAATTTCAGTCCCAGAGCACCTTGAATGAAGTCCTTCTGTATTCAGAATGTCAAATGATACTTTTCCTCATACAGGAATTTCTGCCAAAAAGTGAAACTGAGAAAAATGTGTTTAATGTTTCAACTTGTGTTTTTTTTTTTTTTTTATGGTTTTAGAAACGAAGAATTTTTCCAAGTTATAGGTAGCACCTTCAACTTAAAGTGGGCTTTGTTTCTTGACAGCAGCTTGCAGCTTGCTTCTTAGAACCAACCTGGAGCATAGGTGGTACCTTCGACCCCCAGGCTCTGTTGCTCCCTGGCGATAGCCTACAGCTTCAGTCTTCTGTGTGCAAGCTTCGATGTGTCCTGTGCCCTTGACTCTGACCTTTGCAATCTTCCCAAAAGTTGCCTTCTAGGCATGCTTCTCCTGGTGGCTTCCTGGGGTGATGCCCATCTGCTGGAGCACCTTTTCGAAACCTCTTGGGCCAAGGTTGAATTCCAGCACAGCTAGTGCGACAGCTGTCTCAACAGTTTGCAGGGAGGCAAATTCTGTTTTTGGGCACCGCTGCCAAATAAGGGCATTATAAGACTCATTCGCAATTTGCGCCATCAAACGGGAGCATCGGATGAGCAGGTCCTGTCACGACAGCTGGTTGTAGACAGGAACAAGCTCCTTGAAACCTCTTTAGAGAATGCTGGTCTGTGTGGTCGAGGTGTTGAAGGCCTCCCTTCTGCTTCAAAAACCTTGCGGCTGTTATAATGACACCACAAATCCTCGCCGTTTGGACAGCCCATGTGACGGAGCTCCTTGTCTATGGAATATGTGTGAAGGCTGGCAAAGATGGCTCGCTGCATCTGTACAACATCAGGCGCATTATCTTTCAAGGCACATGCGTAATAGTTTGTTAGCTTCTTCATGACTACGCTGATTAGCTGACCTTTGCCTCCCAGTCCTTTTTCTGCCTTCTTGAGTTTCTCCAGCCCTGCATACATCCTCTTGGCTATGTGACTGATGCAATCTGCCTTGTGGATGTCCTTCTTGTACAGGTCGAGGCTGGACACATGTGTGAAGGCCTTGCTGTTGCCATTACACAGAACAGTGACATACTGCATGTTGTGCAGCTCAACAGACCAGCTGAAGATGGCTGCAGCCGCCTGTACCTCCATTGCATTGGACAATCTCTGGTAGTTCTGGCAAGTTGCGTCGTGGGTTTCTGCCCACTCCTCGAAGTGTTTGTCGTCTTCCTTGGGGCCCAACTCGCACCCGTGGCAATACTTGCTTTAAACCGAAAAATTGAGCACCAAGCCGGTCGCCAGTTCAACTGTAACGCCGACTTCAAACTGCGATGTATGACCATGTTTATGCCATGTGCCATTGCAGCTGATTCAGACACCTAGCAGATTGCTGCCAGTGCTTGGGCCCTCTGTCAGTTGCGCGTTCCTGAGAGCTTGCGCAGCGTTCTATATTACCTCGCTCGCCGTCTGCATTGTGGCATCGTGTACTTTCACAGCTATTTTCTGGTACCACTTGACGCACATCGAGGGGCCCCCGAAAATAGAAAATATTTGAGGTTTGTGAAGTTGATACCACAGTCTCTTCCAACAACGTCGAGGCGCACTGCGAGGAGGCGCACTGTGAGTTCATTCAGTCGAGACTTGCCGACTGGTGGTGAGTGCGGTATCGCGACAATGTCTATACAAGTAGAGCAGCCAACAACAAACTTGAGGTTGACGCCAATTCCTTTTTCTTGCAAACTCAGTAATTCTCCGTGGCACTTGGAGCACACTAAAGCCGCAACAAGTGTTTGCACAATTGACACAGTGAGGAGCCGGTAACCACCCAGGGGCTCAACTGGAGCGTCTGTTGGCGCTGCGTTGTCCGTAGTCCCTGTGTTGAAATCAAGCAGGCCGAGCTTCCTTTTTAACGCAGTCAGCACATTCGATTCGGAGGAGATATGAAGATGCCCAGCATTCGAACATGAAGCAGCAGGCTCCGACGTCCGCCAAGAAGTTGATCTAGAATGTGATATTGACAGTGGCGGCGACAGATCCCTGTCTCTCACAAGGCGTCCTGTTGTCCGACCTCTTAGTTTTCGGCATCGCAAACACTGGCCAAAGCTACAGTGAGTGCTAACTTTAATAGCAGGCATCCCTCGGCTGAAAAACTACCGGGAACAAAGAGGCAAAACGAACCTAAAAAGCAGCGAATAGCGAAGCGATCAGAAGTTAAAGTATCTGTTGAAAGTGCACACAAGACAAACAAGTGACATCACCAAGCGCAACCAATCGTGAGTCCCCTTTCGGGTCTCAATCAATAATATCGCTCGTATCATATTTACCACACTCTTCCTGCTTTTACGCACGGGATCTCCTGGGCTGTGGACAGCCTCGATTGTACCAAGCTTCTCTCGTTGGAAACTAGAAGAAACGGCGCTTCTATCAAGGGGAAGATATCCCGGTTGCGTCAAACGAACGCGGAGTAGGCCTAGATTGAAAATGTCAAACTTTGCTGCCCGCTCGCTCAATGGGTCATTGCACGCGGTTGTCGGCTTGCCGAAAATAGTTTTGCAAGATAAATACTGCATAATTATAAATGAAACTTTCTGAAACTATGCTTCAGAATACAGTGAACCTAAATATACTATTAAAAAAAAAATTGGGATATTGGCAGGGAATTTATGTTCGCCAAGGTTTTTATTCGTACATGACATATGAGAGCTCAACTACCCAGAACACAGTTTGTGGCACAAATTTTGCTTTCTTTCCGCCCGCGAATCCCCAATCAAGAACTGGCCAGTTTGAGTCGTGCTCACTCTCTTCTCCGTGGTCACGTGCCATTTCCTATGGTTTAGACACAACAACCAAATATAATCAAAGTCGTGGGTCATCAAAAGCACACATTAAATATCTAAAAAAAAAAAAATGATACCCATTTTTTGTGGCTTCTAAAAAGCCGCAAATATGTTGATTGAAGAAAAAAGTTGCACAGACATGTGACTTCTGCTACCTCTCTCCTCCTTTATATTTGTTTTTCCTCCCCAGTCTTTATCTGGTTTCTAGCAGTTGAAATTTTTTTTTTACTTTATTAAAAATTAATGTGACGCTGTAGCAAAATATTGATTGTGTAGTCTTTTGACACACTGGAGTCAATCATTTGTGTATAATGTTGAATCTATGTGGCTGTGTGTGTTTAATTTCCAATGACGAACTGTGTACCACTATTTGGGCTATGTGCTGTTTGTGCACACAACAAAATAATAATAATTATTATTATTATTATAATGAATTGCCTGGCAAAAAATAAAACAAATTTTTTGGTGGTGTCAGTGTCCTTTTAAGAGAGCATATTTAAAGGAGTTGTGCAACGCTTTTAACGTTGAAAGAATTGGCATCTTCTACTTTTGACATTGTTCACCTTGTCACAAAGAACAGAAAACACACCTCCTTCCTTCGAAATGTTGCAATTCCGCCGCGTAATCGCAAGGCAAAAATTAGAATACTCCCCGACCTGCAGCCGCGAGCGGCGGCCATGAGAAACATGCGGCATGACGTCAACGGAGGTCTTGTAAAAAAGCAGCAAGTTGTGCGAATACCTGCTCGATAAAATGTAATTTTTTTTATAAATCTTGTCGTTCTAACATAATTATAAATGCGTGAAAAACCTGGTATCATCGACAAATCTTTTATTAAAAGAAGTTTTAGTAGCGCCATCTATCCTAGGTCCACAAAACCGTCAGCTCTATCTGCTACCGCGAACAGCCTCCAAAAGCCGGAGGGGGGGGGGAGATAGAGCGGGCGGGTATGGCCGGACCCGGATGAGACTTTCCTCCTTTCATCATAGTGTTTGCGCTTCACCCGCCAGCACGTGGTCGCGAGTGAATGAGTTCTCGCTGCTCACTGATGGCTCTAGAGAGAGAGCTTCACCAAAACCCCGCGCCACCCCATTGACGTCACAGCGCACATGACTCGGAAGATGGTGAAGGAGTTGAGAGGTACCGAAAACCTCAATCTTTGTCCATTTTTAAAATAAAAACTAGGACATGCAGGCAAAAGCTGTTTTTTGTTCTTTACCTTAGAAAGGTTGAGACACTAAACCCCAAATTATTTAAGAAAAGCACTGAAACTGTTGCACAGCTCCTTTAATTAATATGTCCACTTCAGACCATGAAATGTCTAAAGCATGGCAAGAGTTTCAGAATAATTAGCTGGAAACAATGGGGGCCTTCTGGCAGTACTGAACTGTAGCATTCAGATGGAGATGTACTCTGTCTAGACCAACTTGTGTTTGTTGTGAGGTGCAGACACTGGTGAAGATGACACCGACCTAGTGAATAGTAACCCGCTGTCGCCAAGAAGGCAATATCAACAGAGCCTGAGGGATAGGAACACTGTTTCCTTTACCATAAATAATTTTCTAAAAATTTGTAGGTCTACATACAGCAGTTATGGAAGCAGTATTTGACCTTTCGTAGCAGGTTCTGTAGCGGGCAAAATATTGGTTTGGAGCATCCACTGACGCTGTTCGAGCGGATGACGTCTGTTAGCACATCACTAAAAAAGAAAGTTATTGCATCACTAAATAGGTTTGCCTCTGATAACGTTTGAGTATGCTACTGATCACCTTTTGTAATAATGATAGGGTGCAAAAGGAACATAGAGGCCTTCATTTTAGAAAGAAGGCTCTGGCGAAGGTGGGTTTCATTTACAATGGGTAATAAAAAAAAATGTATGGAAAATGAATCATAGCACGACACTTCAGTTGGGATAAAGCTGTCAGATAAATTAGACTGTAAACATAATTTCAGTAAAATGCCATTAAAAAAACCAGGATATCAGCTAACTTGTCCATCAATAAAAATACTTCTTCCAAGTTTTATGAAGCTACTAAACTCCAGATCTAATATTATAAACTGTAAAAACAACCACTCACAAATATTATGAAAACCTAAACTTGTGCTTTAAAGGTGACACTGCCCTTTTGCGGCGTTGGAACCGGAATGAAGACAAAGATTGTTGCTCTTTCAATCAACCACCTGCAGGGGAACTACCTTGACGACCCTATTTTTTTTAAATATAGACCCACTTTTTTTTTTCTCTGTGCAGCTTTTTAAAATTACAGATCATGCTACAATCAAGATCAAAGAAGGTGGACCTGCAGAAATAAGAGTCGTGGCACAGGCTAGCTGGTGAACGTTCATACCTGAAAAACTCCGAGACAAGGCAAAAGGAAGGAACAAACACAATGAAGTCTCAAATTGAGACTCTGTTGTGTTTGTCCCTCCCTTTTCCCTTGTCTCAAGGTTTTTCAAGTATATGAAGGTAGACCTGTAGTAGTACTGAACATGATCTCCGACCCTATCACACTAACCCAGGCGCTCACCCATCTTAGCCGCTGCTCCTAACACTTGGTGCAAAGCGATGAAGTTCGACGCACACATGCCGGTGAGAGACAACACAGGGGCACAGGGCGGACACGATAATCAAGTGATCTCATCAGGAGAACAAGGTCCCGATTTTGCCTTATTGCAGTAGCCACCATCCTACTATTCTGCAATGTTTTTCCGCGACTTTTAGCTCCCAACATCGTCTGAAAATTGAGACGATGTCGGCGATCGACTTGCCAGCACATCAACCGGCCAGCGCGGTCAACGAGCAGTCTCTTTACTTCGTTTCATCTTAATTTTAAAGCGCAGACAACACTATGAGCTGATGGGACCAACCAAACAGCACCAAAATGTGACATCATGGAATTTGTCCCTCTTCTTGTACGTGCTCGTTCATCGACTAAACCAATCAAGTGCACCAATGTCCAGTGACTTGCAAATTTACTGTGCGTGTTTGTGGTTGTATGTATTCGAGTTGGACTAAGATGAAACAAACTGTATGAAGAGAAGAGACGCTGCGAAATACATATTTATACCATTTTCCTTTCCTCCTCCTACTCTGAATCAGGGTTGACCAACAAAAACAAAAAGCTGGTATTCTTTGCTTCGCCTTTTAAGCTTATTTTGGCGCAGGTGTGCCATGATTTTTAGCAAAAAATGACACTTTGGCGCAAGATATAGCAGACTTTCGTTCATGGTGCAATTGGCACAGCACTTCCATCACTGATACAGGGATGAATCGTTCTGTTCATTCTGAAGCTCTCTGTGGAATACAATAGATGATCTCATTGTTCTCACAGATACTCACCAGGATGGCATTTGGTACATCCTGAGAGACGACACCCACTTCCAGCTCGTTGTCAACGTCCCGTCTCAGTCGACACGACTGAATGACAGGGTCCTTGAGGAGCTTCTGAAGAACCTCCTGCAGAACACAATGAAGAATGATCACCCCATCAGAGTCATTTCACCAAGTGTTAAATATAATCTAAAGCTCTCGCGACATCTCACCGGAAACGGACTCTCTACGAAGTACCGGTTGTGCTTCAGCACCAACTTCACCTTTCCATAGCTGACGGTGCATAACTGAAACAAGAAGCACAATGAAGCTGATAACGGGCACAATTTCAGACTGCACAAAAAGGTGCAGGATCTCACACACTACTTGTGTGCAGTACATAGGAGACATTACTGTTTTACTCAGCTGTTATCCACACATTCCATGTGTGGATAACAGCTGACCAACAAACAAACCCGAGTTTCTGCAGAAAGATAATCTTCTTTGTGCCCTTCTCTTTTAGACTGGGAGGGGTGTTGGGGAAAGAAGATACAGGAAAGGAGGAAGCGATCGAACTGTGTCGGCCTTTAAGTGTGCTATAAACTTGAAAACTGGTCATACTTTAAAGGGGCACCATGCAGGTTTCCAATCTCTTATTTTTCATGCATTAATTATAAAATACATGAGTCACCCTAACCCTGAAAAGGTTAGCTCAATATGAAAACTAGAAAATGCAACACACAGGAATAAAGATTTCAGAAAATTGATTATTTTTCATTTTACTACAGAATTTCATTTTAGTTATCCAGAGCACCTGTAATGAAGCAGAGGTATGAGTCAGTGTGGTGCACACTGCATCCCACCTTAATAAATTCTATGATGCCATCTGGAATGCTGGTCTTGCTGAGTCTCCTCAAGTATTCAATGATGTCCTGTGTCTGCAGCCCCACTGACACAGCCGCATACAAGGAGTATGAAGTCAGCTTGTACTCGTGGATATGGTGGGGCCTGCATACAGGCTGCGGAGACACAAAGGTCGGCCTGGTGTAAACACCCTTCCCACACAAACAGAATGTTGCCTATCCCATAAACAAAATTTCCATGCAACTGGTATAGCTTACCTCCGATATTGCTATCAAAAAGTCGTGTGCATGCTTGTACACCGGCGAGAAGGCCTCCAGAAAGACATGTCCGTCTGCAGCCTGCGTGAATGATGGCCATATCTCGACTTCAGAGATGCGTGCAATCAAACATGCAGCTACGTGCTGTGGCTTCCTTTAGCTCAGGAAAAAATTACTCTTCCATCACTATGGTATAAACCACTAGACGAGTGTCTACTCGATATAAGACAAATCTGACATAACTTGGGAGCGACTGCTTGCTAGAGTCAAAGCCATGAGTGCTTCGTATGCCCTAGCTAATTCTGAAGCTCATGCAGAGAGCAAGTCGTCTGCTTCTTGCGCAAGAGTTGCAAAGACGTCAGAATGATGCCGAGCTCCGATTGGCTTTGACTGAAAGGATAGTGGGTCGACTTCAATGCTAAATGCCTACCCACTATTTTAGAACGCAACTCTTAGGCGCCTGTTTCCGGCTTAAGCGGCGTCGGCGTAACCGCGCAGTGCATTATGGGAAACGTCCCACAATGCAACGTGCGTGAGTGAGACCCACGCGTTGCATTATGGGACATCTCGGTGCAACCGCGCGGTGCATTATGGGACGTTTTGGCGTAACCGTGTGGTGCATTATGGGAACCGTCCCATAATGCAACGCGCAGGTCTCACTTGTGACCCGCATGTTGTATTATGGGAAACGTCCTATAATGCAACGCGGCGCAGGTCACGAGTGAGACTTGCACGTTGAATTATGGGACTTTCCCCATAATGACGTCACGAGTGTCCTGCGCATTGCATTATGGGAAACTTCCCACGATCCAGCACACGAGTATCACTCATGACCCGGGCACCCTCCCCTCCTTCTCCTCAAAAGCTGCGCTCTAATTCGGCATTACAGGGAGTTGTAAACGTCCTTCATTTTTTTTTGCAATCAGCCAATAAGAGCTCGGCGTTCTCAAATCAATACAACCCCTGTGCAAGAAGTGGATGAACTTGTGCTCCACATAAAAAAGGAACAAATTGAGGGAGTTAGCAGAGTTGTTTACACACTGTGTTGACTCCAGTGATGGGACGATCATGGGGATGGCAATACATCAAAAGCTCACCAACACTTTTTCTCCATGTTTACTTCTTTTTTATGTAGCAAATCTTAATGTAATCCCGGTAATGTACAAGAAGGGACTAGATAAGGATGCACTGAACTCTATTTGCTCTTTCCACATTGTTTTCAATCAGAGGGGAAGACAACATAATCCTGAAGTCAAAAATGCAAAATTATGTGTTTGGGCACTCAAGAAGCGTTTGTTGTGTTGCGTAGCCGGTTCAGGTGTTTTCTTTCCAACACCCATAAAAACGGAAAAAGAGGGTCACACCTTATTTTTTTTTTCTCTTCTAAAGAATGAATAACGGTATTGTATGCACCAGAGATTTCTAAAGCTACGGAATATCCGATTAGGGTACTCGGGTCAGTAGTATTACAATTAAACTTTGCTATCTTGCGTCATGTCGCACGCACTTACCACCCAGAGCGGCCGCGACGAGTGATCCGGTCTGAGTTGCATTTGTGAGCGATAGTCCTTTGCCCCAAATTCGTCCTCCACCGACGCCTCGCTGAGTTTCTGACTGGCCGCCGCCGGCACTCCATCTGAAGACCAGTCGCAAACAATCAGGATTCAGGACACTAAGCGGCCGCCGTCGACCGTGAAAGGCGCATGGCCGGACGGTATGAGCCGTACCTCCGTTCCCGTCGTCTTCGCCGTACAGATCTTCAGTGGCTTCTTCGATATCCGCCTTTTTCCTCCACTTTTTCGTGCCTACAAAGTAACATGAAAAGTTTTAACTCATACACTCAAGCAATGAAACGTGGTAGCACCGCAAAAGCGGCATTGCTTTCCTTCTCATGGAAACGCAAAGAAAGGTATGACAAGAGGTCCCCAAAGCTCGTTACAGCATCTGAAACAGCACTTACCACGGCTACCCTTGGTCTTCCCCATAGTCGTAGAGCGCAGAAAAATATTACCGTTAATTAAGCATCGCCGTAAAACTGTTGCGCGGACGCTGGGACCAACTCACGCGTGTCAAACTGCGCGTAGAGCTAAGGCGTAGCCGTTCCTTCCCTGACCAACCGGTGACTGATGCCCACCATGCCCACTGCGCCGATTTCACCGATGACGAAAAAGCCCGGCTTGGCTTGACTTCGCTACTCGTAGACTTTACCGACTTGACTGACTTGACCACTCAGATGCGTTCGCGAGGCAATTTTTAGTAAACTAAACTTTTTGAAAGCGTTAACCACCAAATATTACATTAAAGTTTTAATAATTAAAACAATAATTTAGTTTAAAACAATATAACGCGCTTTTTAATTATTAACGTCTATACCTTTATACGTGACGTCCATCACGACTTGTAACATTTAAACGAGAGAAGCAAACGAACGCATCACTGACCGCATTTATCACGTGACCCACGTGACTTTCTTGTCGCCATTTTATCTCACTTTACGGCGTTGTGCGTGTGGGACGTTGGTCAAGATGTCCTCGCGTTATTCGCGTCCTCCAAATTCGTCACTTTTTATCAGGAACGTGCCGGATGGCACAAGGTATGTATGTAACGTGTTTTAAGGAAGGTGCAGCGTCGGGTTGCAGTTAGTTATTGATGCCTTGCGACTCTGAATCGACCGTAGCTGCTAGCGTATTAGGCCTAGTTCCTGTCGACCACGTTGTCTTGTAGAGCAAGGTTTTTTTTTCTTTTATCTAAAGGTTCGATTTCGTGTTTATTCTTTCATATAAGTGCGGGTTTGCGTCTAATTCTAACATAGGTTGCTCTTATCCTCATGAAATGTCATCATACGTTAGTCTGACTCGCGTTTTGTGTGCTACATTCGTGGCCTTGATAGTTTTAACCCGCGTGCTCTCGGAATTACTCCCGTCTTTGTTTTGTATTTTTGTACTTGCATTATCGTCGATTTTCTGGCCCTTCGTTATGTATTATTTGTTTGTGTTGATGCCTTAAAGGCGCTGGACCCGTTTTTGTAAGCAGTTGGTTTTTTTGCCGATTTCTCCGTAGACCGGAAGACCTGCGCAGTTTGTTCGGTAAATATGGACCGATAACGGATGTCTATATTCCGGTGGACTACTACGCTCGTAGACCCCGGGGTTTTGCTTATGTGCAATATCCTTTGTTTCTGGACCGTGAGTGGTGTGCGAAGCGTGTATGTGTCACTAATTTTTTCTTTTAATTGTCGTTTTTGCCAGACCAAGGTACCAAGTGTGCCAAGTAACGTTAACTAGTAAAGATGGCAAGATCACCTAGCGCATTGGCGGGGAGGCGACAGCGTGCAAGCTTTTACACAACCGGCCGCAAGAGCAAGTGCTTTAGCTGTGTGCATGAGTACTACTCGTATACAAGGGCAAGTCAAGCAAGGGCAAGCCAAGTGAGAAAAAGGCAAGCCAAGCGCAAAAAGCAAGGCAAGCACAGGGTTTCCGAGCTTTTCACAAAGACAAGCGTCGAAAGATAAAGTGCCACAGGTGTTGCAGGTATAGTCGACAGTATCCTGGTGGTTATTGCCTTCATGTTTTTTCTTACAATTATTGAATTTTAAAAATTGTTTTCCTCACTTGATTGTCTGTTGTTGGCCAAAACATTGCGTTTGCACACTTGACTGCATACCCACGTTCGAAGATCTCAGAGATGCCGAAGATGCCATGTACTCGCTGGACCGGACCCGTTTCTACGGCCGGGAGCTCGAAATCGAGTTTGCCCAGGGGGACCGTAAAAGTGAGTATCGTTGCCCGCAGTTTCGTCCAACAGACTGGGTGGGGATGTCGGTCTCTGGCTGGGGAGGTATCTCGTGATGGCTGCATCTACTGGGACTACGGTCAGTTGAGGGCAGTGGCCGGGCGACTGACGAGCGATGATGAAAGCCTTGTGTCTGCATGTCGTGCTATACCCTGCCAGAGCCAGCAATGGTTGAACCCACTGGTAGAGGCATGTTCGTGTGGCAGAAGCTTGCCCCCTTTGGGCTGTCTGACTGCTCAGTTGCACAAGCCTTGCGTGGACACTGCATCCTTTTTTCCCACTGACCAAAAAATGGGGTCGTAAGTATTTGGGGGGGGGGGGGGGGAAGGGGGGGAGGCAGGGGCAGGCAGGCATTAAAACATTTTTTTAGTTATTCTTTTGGGACACTTGCCTGATCTATGTTCTTTCATGTACTATTGGCACGGAATGAAACTGAACGTGTGCCTTTCCATACATACTACCTTGCCTATTCGCGACTCCAGCAAAACGGACGCCACCAAGCGGGAAAACCGGGCACCAGCCGGTCCAGGTCGCTCCGCGCCTCTCCGAATCTCTGGTAGCTTTCGCGGACACCTGTTGTCGGCGCGATGGCGAACAGTGTAATTTCACGAAGGTCCGAGAATTTCTTAAGTTTGCCTGAGTGTTCATTAGTGTGGCGAAGCCTCAGTAGATTCATGGTCATGGATGAAGAAAGAATAAAACAATTAAAACAGGGACAACACAACCACATGTGGTTGTGTTGTCCCTGTTTTAATTGTTTTATTCTTTCTTCATCCATGACCAAAACCAACACGCTCTTCTCCCAAGCAAGCTCAGTAGATTGTTTCCTTCCATCACGTGTTTTCGATCTCTTGGATGGGGAGGAATCGCGGAAAAACGTTTTGATTTCTTGTCTGTCTCGAATCACATTCAAAGTGACGACTACTTGGTAACTGATAAGGAGTTTCTTTATAAGGATGTAGAACAGTGGGAGGACGACAGACGAGGCATTTCACTGGAGGGCACACCAATGCTGCAGTCAAGTGAATGGGAAGGTTCGATAGCTGCTTTTCTTGAGTTTGTTTGTGTTCGATTAGCTTTAAGTTTGAGCCACCCACGCCGGTTGGTGTTTTGGCTATTCATCTTGGCTGCTTTTCGCCGAAAAATCCTCTGGATCACTCTGAAGGAGTTGGGTTGGTTTCGCAATTACTTTATTCAGGAAAACCTGCTCGCTGCACATGATGAATGAAGGAAATTATCTGTTTCCAAAAGGTGGGGGACGTATCTCGCAACGTTAGAAGCTGTCACGGCATTATGATCTACCGCGCCTCCAATATTTATATTATACCCCCGTCGAATTAAGCCAACAGCAATATACGTCTACATTGCTTAGGTTTACCGGCCACAAAAATACTCATTTTTTTCCGTTGAAGATTCGAAGTCATGTTCAATGCAGAGAGGTTCTGCGTGAATCTCCAATGAAGACTCTCTTCAGTTTGTCCGGATTCGTCTCCGTGCTAGCGGCTAGAACCATTTGGCTAAATTTACCTTAGTATCTCTCTGTCTGTCAAATATACTTTTATTCAGCAGTTCACCGAATAGTTAGTTGACTAAGCCCATATTTCAAACCGAAGAATATACTAATATCGCTTTAGTGGGACATAGTACGTAATATAATACATAACCCGCTCGTCAAAATGACTTCTCGATTGCTACAAAAAACCTGAAGTGAAATACGAGTATCAGCTGCTTAGTGGGGTGCCGGCGGGTTAGCATGCTCCTTGGCTCAAGAAGCGCTTGCTTAATTTTCGTAATTTTCCTGCTGCCTGTGTTGTTGACCGAGCAGACGACTGAAGCTGTTTCTTAAACGCGGATACGAACAGAAGCTCGATTTCGCGGACAGATAAGTCTCGTGGTCGAGGCATGCGAGTTGGCTGAAAATTACTGTCGGTGGGAGAATTCTGCAGTCATTGCCGCTTTCCTTAGATGATCAAAACTGATTTGGACATTTCCGTCTCTCCAGAGCCCATAGTTTCGGTTTCGAAGGAAATCTCCGAAACGAAAGTTTGACATGAAAATAGCAAAAAGCACACTTGGAAAACAAAACTATGCTCTGCAAGTTTATGTGCACCGGCTACACTTAACCGTCTCAGTTCAAATACCTATAAAATTGGGCATTAAACAAAAGAAAATCTGTTAAACTGAACGCGCCACCTGTTCAGGCGGCCCGGCCGAGCCGACGCGACCTGGACTCAGCCGCCATGTTTGATTGGTGGTGGCGCCCCCTATAGGTCGCTGGAGTCGCGAATAGGCTGAGGGGAGAGGGTGTGGCTTTGTCAGATGTATTGCCCCCTCCCTTTCCACTCCTCAGTTCCATCAGCCTCCGGGTGGTGCAGCATGTGTTGAAGGCAGACTTGTACGATACTCGTTACAAATAATCAAATTGTAACCGGTTTTTTTTTTTTTTTTTGCATTGGGCTCGCCTCGATAACATGGTTTGTTGAGAAGGGCATAATTTTAAGAGTGAAGGTACTTCATTTTCAAAACCCTAGCAGCCAACGATGGCAGCGAGCCTGCTCCAGCCGTGTTTGGGATCAAACAGGAAGCACCACTTCAAAATCCTTTCGAACCGATCAATTGACTCGACAGTTCAACTACAGTATGTGGTGCAAGAGCTAATAGGAAGACGGTCTGTTCTTTTCTCCTTTCAGCTCCGTCCGAGATGAGGGGCCGGGAGAGGAATCGCAGAACCCGCTCACCTTACGGCAGTCGCCACGACGACAGGGGCAGCCGAAGATCGCGCAGCCGCTCTCCATATGGCCGGGGCCGCAGTCCTCGGTGAGTTTAAGAGAGTGGAAGGTTTGGACCCTGTGTTGCACCTTCTAAACGTCGCTCCTCTCCACTGTCAAAGTTCCTTTGGGTAAAGAATACTCTGTTCCATGCACTTCGATTTGCTTTGGCACACTATTGGGAGCGCACAAATCCCCAAGTATGAATTGTTTCAAAATAGTTTCAATGTAGTTCTAGAGATACCAACAGTTTAAAGCACAAATTTTAAGCTTCTATAAAAAAATATTTTGTGTCTTTGAGTGCCATTTTGCACTGAAGTACACTTGGGCTTGAAACTTTGAGGTGGCACCTGGTTTGCAGGCGCAGCCGGAGGCACTCTTACAGCAGGTCTCGGTCCCGCGACAGGCGCAGGCCAAGCTACTCGCCTCGAAGGTAAGCGGTCCGCCCGGTGGCAGGTGGGACACCAGTGTCATTTGCATCCTTTGGCCCCTCCAGGTCGAGGTCCTACAGTCGATCGAGGTCTCACTCCCGCTCACCACACATGGGTCACCACAGCAAGACCAAGAGCAGGGACCACTCCCCCTATGAGATCGTGGACGAAAGCCGCGACAGGTCAAGGAGCAAGACCCCAGAGTGACTGCACTGACCTTACCACCAAACATGTGCATATTCTCATTACAAGACTCGTTTCCTTTCCCTTTTTTTTTTTAAGCTTTTGTTTGTTGTAAAAAGCACATCACTGCTGTAAACCTGGCTTTTCGGATAATTACCTCATTTGTCCTGGCATGTAACTGCCATTAAACTACTGTGGCTTTTTTTTTGTTGCTTTATTATGCATTTGTGTCCTTGGTTATCAACAATTCATTTCTTGTTTCCCAATGAAGTGGATCTTTTGTAAATATTTCTGGAACATTAATAAATAACATTTGGTTTTGAAAATGTTTGTGGTTGTATATCTGATGACATGACCTTCGGATCATGTAATGGTCATTACTACTTGTTCTTGCGGAGGGCAAGCTTCATGGTGTGAAATATCTTCTGCTGGGGTAGGTATGTGTGCAGCAGCAGGAAGGTCATCGATAGATGCATAAACTGAAAGTCAGGCTCTGACTGAAAGTGTTCTGGGACGGAATTAAGCGCAACATTTAGTTTGGTAGTAAAGTGGCGCCCTCTGGTGAGAAAATTTCAATCAAAACTCCTTTGACGAGACAGTCATGAGCAGTCATTCACAACCTCGATTTTCTTGATGGACGGCACAGGGCACCACTGATCGCACAACCATCTTTGTCGCTGCAGCCCTTGCAGTTGCTGCAGCCGCAACTGCAAGGTCGGCCACCGGACGGTCATCTTGCATGTTGAAAATTCGCCTTTTTGGAGCGTTGCGGAGGCTGGCAGCAGCGATCTGAAGACGCGGTTTCTACACGCTCGTCGCCATTCGCCTAAGAAGTTATTTAAACCATGCATAAACAATGAGATGTGCCCTTGAGACCATGTGAAAATGCACTTATTATAATGCATGTGTGAAAATGTTAACGAAAGCGCAACGCCGCAGGATAAAAGCACAACCCGTCGAAAGCAAGTTTCGCGGGTTTCACAGCGTTAGCAAAGCCAATTTAACGACTTTGTATTTAAATTGACCCCTTTAAACTGCTGCGTTTTAAAACTGCCCGTTGTTAGACAGCAGGGTGGCGCCCATGTCGCCCAATGGCAGAAAGAACCCTGTGACCTACCAGGGGGCGCTGTCCAGAATCGTGGGGCTTGCCTCTCGGTTTCTTTTGTAATCCCGCACGTGTTATTTTATTTATTAGATCCAAGAAACAAAGGTCGTGAAAACTACGGAACGATGGATTCCTCGGGTAAGATCTCCTAGAATTCGACCACGAACGGAGTCTCCCTCTTTTGTGCCAACGCTGGCCCGAGTTTGAAGGCTAGCGTCACGGATGAGCGTGCTCAAGCACCGTGCACCGATTTTTTATTCGCAAGTTCACGAGATCGCCTCCAGCGCCCGCGAACTTAGTTGGCGACGTTTCTTTCCCGCGTTTAGCGTAATTTCGAGACTGGGCGGGGTTGATTTACCCTTTGAATTTGTCCGTTACGAGCTCGGCATTTGCATTGTTCAAACACCGGTCGGCACGGAACACCAAAAACGCTTCCCTTGGTGTGCGTTAGGTTTTCCTCATTATGTCTGAAATGGCTTCGTTTATGGCGCTATATAGACTGCGTTATCATACCTTCGCTGTTCTTTATGTCGTCTTCGTTAAAAATAAAAGCGAAGCGGCCACTATTTTCCAGAGCGACGTGAAACTGCCATAAAGCATTGAAGCGGTTGCCGGCATTCGGAGTACTACCTGTGCATAACTTCCTGGAGAGCTTCATTTTCACGTGTAGACGGTGCTAGCTCAGGTGGCGGGCTCTCCCTTGCAGATCTATCACGACGAATTTGGTGAGACTTCGTCGGGCTTCGTGCTCTGAAAGCTATTTTCAACGGCAGTTCTCTATGCGAACTGATCGTTTAATGTTCATTCTCGAAATAATTTGTACTATCTTTATTTCTTTTCTTTTTAGTTTGCATAAAGTTTGTTTAGTAAAGTTTAGAGTACGTAAGAAAAGCATAGGTTCAGGGAATAAGCGTCGTATGAAAATATTCAGCTCCCTGAAGCACTGTGTCGTTTCTATCACGTTTATGGCACTGCTTGTCCAGTGAGTTCTCATTATTTGGGACGAAAAGAAGGGAATGCAGAGATGCAACACACTGAGCACAAGCTCAACATTTGCACCTGTTTGCGTATTTCACAGACGGCATATTAGCAAACATCTACTTTTACGGCCCGTGTTTGTGCCTCGGTTGAGCACACTGCAGTGTACTGGTAGTGTTAACTGCAGCTGTTAACTCGTAATTAAGTAACCAAAAAAACAATACAGTGTTTTCTTTGTGCTAAGTATGTAATGCTGTAGTGTTTCCATTCCTCACCATTCCCATCTTTGGAATTCATGATTCCACTGGATGGGTGGATGTTGATGGCTATACCCTTTGTAATGGGTGGTAGCTTGCGCCACCTAGCCTAAGTTTAAAAAAGACAAACATTATTTTTCGCGCCCTTCTAAGCCAATTTTCTCCCCCTATCTATCACCAGGATGACCTTTGGGGATCGGGCAAAAGAACTAAAAATATATCCCCCCGCCTCTTCCCCCCGACGAGGGAGTCGCCAATTTTCCTCTGCTCCAACCCTGTTGGTGTTACCCCAACACCGGACCCACTGGGAGACAGGGTTGAGACTTTGGGCCGGAGGCACATGGGAAGGAGTTCCAATTTTCTATAGACAATTTTCACCAATCTTCTAATCGTCTCTTTCTGACCGTAATCCTTCTCTCTTCAGTCCATAATTGCCGTAAAGCGTTGAAGCAGTTGCCGGCATTTGGAGTAGCACTTGTGCATAACTTCCTGGAGAGCTATGCCATGAAAATATTTTCACATATCATGAACTTGCGAGCGACCATGGCGGGCCTTTAATTGAGAGGCTCCTGCCGGCGCTCGTGCTGTGCGCACGCGTTCACTACCAATGCTATTGGCAATTTCCAAAAATGGTTGATTTTCCTAGGTTTGTGTTGTATATGTGGCTTGGCCGTCTTAAAGGGGTACTCTGGCGATTTTTCGAGGCACCCCAACTAACTATATTTTTGGAACCACCGGCCTTTACCCTTTCCGGTATGGTATTTCGTATCTCGAAATTCAGAATAGTTATTGTGAAATCGGGAAGTGAAAATGATGTCAAAACCAACATTCAAATATACCCACGCTTTTCAATACTGTGACTTGGGTCATAGAGCGAACTTCCAAAGCATCCATTTGACACCATGAAACTGCTTGTAATCAGTTGATAGCAAAGTCTACAGTCCAAAGGGTGAACCTCTGCCTTCTATTGGTTCCTTTTATTGTTGCCAGTAGAGATTTCCACTTCGAAAAACACAGTGAGGACTAAAATTTTAATTTCAAATACTTTGAGGAAAAATTTTAGTTTATCGCAATATTTGGGTTACTATTTCAGCGATGTTTGTTGTTGTGCTTAGCAAATTATTGGGCAAATCGGGGGCTATGAAGAAAACGTCGGAGTGCCCAACTGACAGTATTTATGCTTGCCAAGATTTTTATTTGTACTTGACAGGAGAGCTGAACTGCCCAGAACACAATTTGCGGCTCGAAATTCGTTTTCTTTCCGCCCGAAAAATGCCGATTGAGAGATGGCCGGTTTGGGCCGTGCATGCTCTATTCTCCGTAGTCATGTGCCGTTTTGTACGGTTTAGACACAACCACAAAAGATAATCAAAGTCGTGGGTCATCGAAGACACACACTCAACACAAAAAATGGACTAATATTATGATACCCATTCTTTGTGGCTTCTGAAAAGCTGCAAATGCACTAAATAAAAAAAAAAAAAAAAATCTTGCACAGCCCCGTGATCTTTGGCGACACTCTCCTCTATAGACCTTTTCACCCTCCCTCGCATGGGCGCTGCCATCTTGGAATCACGTGACGCGGCAGCCATTAGGTTGCTTCAACTTGTTGCTCCGCTCTCCTCTCCGTGCTTTGGCGGATGCGTTGTATTCGTGTTTTTCGCCACATTTCACCGCGCTTTCTTGCCTTGCTTCGGAAACTGTATTCCGATACGTCTACTCGACGACGTCACTAGGGTTCAAAGATTCTTATGACAACTGAGGTTTGTTTACTAATAGTGGTGGAACATTCTCAGTAAGAAGCGCATATATTTATATCGCGCATTTAGGACTGGGAGGCGTCAAGAATAGTCAGCGCAAGGTGACTGTCTGTATTTCCTGAAAGTATCGTTCTTTGTATTACTAATACGTCGAAAACTGTTTATGTTGATTATGTGAGGAAACTCGCGGAACAGATAGACAACGAACATTTAACTGAGACTAGCAATAATTCACACCTATCTGTGTATAAAGTTATCAATCTTTTCTTTTTTTTTTTTTTTTTCTGCGACATAACATCTGGTTGGTCGGTTGACTTATGAAGTTTAGGAAATTGTGTACCGTGCTCGTTCTCATTTCGACAGTCATTTATGTGATTTATTGATTATCTTTAAATAACCAGTTCAATCCATTTAATTTATATTATCGCAAAGGTTGGGACTCCACAAACTTTGTGATAAAGGTTGGGACGTGTACGTTGTTTTAACTTTTACCGGTATCTGGGGTCCGCAATATTTGACTCCGAAAAAACGCCGTCTGCATAACGATCGCCTGAGTCTAGGATTGTCGATGGCGAATAAAGGTTTACTTTTGGCGGCTGGCGACGCCGAAATTTACAATGCGAATCTGTTCAAACAAATAAATATTTGTTCACAGAGGTCCGTGAAGTGGTGCCTAGTGCTAGGATTCATACAAACTTTCCGAGGTAGTTCTCCTCCTGCGCCCTTTAATTTTACCTGGCAAATTTTGCGGAAGACAATTGACAGATTTAATTTGACGGGCCTGTCGCTTATATCACATTTTGCGTAAGCAAATGTTCATATCAAAATAATTTATTTCCTATGGCCAATATCGCGAAAGTCTGCTTGTGAGTACTTTAGCAGGGTTTATAATTTAAGAAATTTTCTACTCAGCCTGTCAAAATAGGCTCGAATACTGAATTAAAAAATAAATAAAATAAAAGAGGCCGAGACTATACTACTTGTTTATATAAATTATCTGCGTCATTACATGATACTCTTTTAATCTGTGAAGTTCACTAAAGGTTGGGTGCCCACGAAAACCAAACAGTGAGTAGTAAACTCGCGAGTTCATTTGTTCTGCCTGATTAAGGACATTACTAATCAAGCTATCGATATGCTTCTTTGCATTCACGTGTTAGTCTCTTTATTATTTTATTTTTCTGGAAACTAATGTCATCGGGTACGGCCATAGACGATGTTAATCTTCCATGGACATCAGTCAGGCTTTTCGCGACCGACGTTACTCAGATACCGCAATAAGATACATCAAAAGAGATTGTAAAAAAAAAACAAAAAAAAAAAAAAACGCAATTTAGGGCCAAAATCACTTCGTAGTCCTCAAAGTGGCTCAATGCCACTGTTTCATTGATTGTGCGCTACAAGCAAAATAATTGTATCACAAAATTAAGCAAAAACCACGTAAAACAAACATAGCCGCGTGCACCTTGAAACCGAAACCAACTAAATTGAAGCAGCCTAATGGCGTCGAGTGCGTCAGCGCCCTCTATCCGCCAGAGAAGCAACTACAAAAATGAAAAGGTCTATATTTCTTTTTCCTCCCAGTCGAATTTCAGTTTTGAGCAGTTGCATTTTTTTTTATATAATTAAAAATATATGTAACACTGTCAAAATATTTTTTCGATAATCTCCTGACACCATAATAGATCTGGTAAAACATAAACAAAATTTTTGGGGGGCTGTCAGAATCCCTTTAAGTGAAACCCCTCGATGAGTGTGGAATTAAGTACATTTCACAAGCAGCAATTGACTCACACTACATTCCACACAAACACCTTTGACTGAAGCCGATGCTTTTCTTTCGCTAGCTGCAGAGCTCTCGCTGGCAGTCCACACTTTTGTTATCTTAAAAGCGTTGCACAAACCTCACTTTTAACATTGCCATCTGGAGCTTGCAGATGCTTTCAGCCTTCTTGCTTTTACATTCTGATGGTTTCGATGCCAGGTTGCTCTGAAGGGCTTATCTTTTGAATACATTCATGCTTGAGCATAATTTGTAGAGCCCTGCATATCTGCGGTTACCCGCGGATTATCCACAGATATCCGCTGTCAGCTTGCAGATGCGGATACAAATGAATCTGATTTGTTGGATTGCGGATCGGATGCAGATGCCACGGCTTGCGGATATCCGCGAGTCCGGATCTACATTTTTGCCGAAGCGGCCCATAAACGTGTGCGACTGCAGCATAAAATGTGCCAGCTGAAAGAGATTTCTCATTAGCGGGTCTTAATGTAAGAAAGGCGAATCAGTCTGAATTTTTCCATGCTGATGATATTCTTCTACACAGCAAGCTCGACAAATAAGAACATTGAGTTTTTTTTGTTTTTTTTCGTGACAGTTGGCAAGTTGTTTCTAAGTATGTGGTTCCGAGCATGATGTTGAGGGTTGAGGGAAAATATGCATTCTACATAGCAAAAAGAAAAAAAAAATTAAAATTTCTTTTCTTTTGAGTGCATCTTCTGGACAGAGTGTCACAGACCCCCAAGATGACCACATAACTGCGATCATCTTCCCAGCAATGCAAAGAGTCTCTAGGAGGACGATAGCTGATATAAATATAATAAAGCACCATACAATGAAATAACTTTTACTGTACTCTGACATGAAACATTCTTTGTAAAAAAGAAAGCAGAAGGCTTATAGAATACCATCCAGATGCCTTTTTTATGTTGATGTTTGATTTTATGGTGTGAAATGAATGTGCAAATTCCGGATAGTACGCGGCTTCGAATTTCGCGGATGCGGTTTGGATGCGGATACAATAATTAAGGTTTGGAGTTTTAGGTTTAAAGCGATAAAAGTACGCCAAATCCATTTTTGGAACTTCGGTTTTAACCGGAAAAGGTCAGTTTGTAGTTTTTGTGTTTTCGGTTTAAACCGATAAAAGTATGCCTCATCTGTTTTCTAAAATTCGGGTTTGACCGGAAAAGGTCAGTTTTTTAGGGCCGCATCGAGGTTGGTGGGGGAAGGGGGGTAGAGAGAGAGAGAGGGCTTTGTAAGGTTCGACTAAATACTTTGCTATGGGGAATACATTCCACTCCTCTCAAATACAATAGTCTCGGCGCGGACAGGTTTTCTGGGCTTGGCGAGAGCCATCTATCGTCGGGGAGGTCTCGGCTATCGGGCTTAAATGATGACGGTGATGGTAATTGTTCCACGTACCAAATTCATTGTTGTGGAAACGCTCGAGACACGTGCCGCGCACCACTTCTAGGAAGAACATGGCGTCTAAAATCTAGCTCAGTGCTGTGCCAAATACGTTGCTGTGCTGTGCCGCCATCATCTTCCCAAGGGTTGCACATTGCACGTGCCTTGTGCATCGACGCACCCTGCACTACTTTTGAAACATGAAGGGTCTTTAGGTGGAATCAAAGACGACACCGCCGCGGCCGCCGCAAACATCCAGGTACACATGCGCGTGGACTGACGCAGACCTCCCTTCCGTCAGGGCTGGATTCGGCGCTGTAGGCGTTGTCTATTGCAAATGAGTGGAGTGGAATGTATTCCCCCTAGTAAAGTGTTTGGTTCAACATTGTGTGCCGTCTTCGTGATTGCCCTCTTCCAAGGTTCAACATGCAACAAAAGAGGTCTTGAATTGGCCTTCAGGGGACATCTGTGTCCTTTCTATGATTGGGCCTTAAACGGATACTACAACGAATTTTCGGTGCTCATTTTTCGGTCTATATGTGTTCAAAGGAGCAGCATCACATCGAACATACCAATATCTTGTTAAAAAAGTCACGAAAAGGAATTTTAAAGCAAATTAAACGATTAGCAAAGAGCACCTGGTGGATGTCGCTAACGCCTCGCTTATAATGCCCGTCTAGGAACCTTGACAGCTAGTGACGGAGGTTGTCTCGCCTCCGGCCATGACGAGAGAAAGAGGGAAAGGAGGAACTTCCCGAGAATGCCTTTTGTGTGTCGCAGAAGTTGCTGTTGTCCCCCTACAAGATTATAGAAGATTACCCCGTCACTCAAAATTCATCCAAAAGCAGCCGCTTCGGTGACTGGAACGACTAGGCCATCCTCTCGACGTCAGCCTTGTTGTAGCTTTGCTCGTCCTGAGACGACCTACGTCACGATTGCTTTGGATGTCACGTGGTCTCCGCTGGGCCTTCTCAGAGCGCTTGCCAGAGTGGGCCGTTTATAACGAAAAATACAGCCACCAGGCTTAAAATACAAACGTGATTGTCAATTACGGATATTGTGGATCATATTCAACCTATTTTTTAACACGACGGGAATATTTAAAATTTAGTTGGAGTATCCCTTTAATGTGTCAAGTCTTGTCCCTGTCCTAAAAAAAAGAAAAAAAGTTTGGATCTGGGCTAGTACAAGGTTTTTCGCTTCATGCACTTCAGAGGACATCGAGGAAAGCCGTTAATACCTTTCTTAACACCCTCGCTCAAACTTTCCTGTGGTTGAAAACATAAATACAATGGAGTTTTTTTTTTTTTTTTTTTTTGCTTGCTATTTTGTTGGTTCCTGCACGGTCATCACGTCAGACGGTCACGTCGTCAGAATGGGAGTGAAAAAGAAGCGCGCTGAAGATTATGGCCGCGAATTCTGCAATTTTGAGGTGTGTCCTGACGGAAGTTGTAGCGAAGACCAAATATGTATAGGTGCCGTTATTCTTTGAGTGATCACAAATATCACAGCCACAAGGATCATCTGATCCGGTGTCCAATGGTGTTTCTTTTATATTCACCGAAGTAAGCCGGTAAACTTTTTTTGGGAATAAATATACACCGAAAAAAACCCGAAAATTAAGTTTTAAAATAAGCACCAAAAAAAAGTATGCCAAATTTTGAAAAAAAATATAAACCGAAAACACGGAACCCTAACAATAATTTAAGAACATTGCAGATGCAGTTCGGATCTGGAGGCAAAGTCTGTGGATGTCGATCGGATGCGGATGATCAAACTGTTATCCGCGCAGGGCTCTAACCATTTGGCTGGCTCTTCCTAACTAACTAGCATAACATTGGTGTTGCAGGTTAGCAGGCTATCTGCGTTTCTTCTTGTGGCGTGTCTGGCTGTTCTAATTTCTTGTGTGCACCTGCAGCTGCCTCCGTAAACCAGAAGACGCCCATCAGCATCCTACAGGAGCTGTGTGCCCGCAACTGCCTGACTCCTGAGTACAAGCTGCTCTCTGTGGAGGGGGCCGTCCACGCCCCCACTTTCATGTACAGGTTAGTGGCCCATCCTCCTCATGCATGACAGCGGAGCACGAAGAGAAAGAAGAAACCCGCAGAGGAATAGCACACGACACTTCCGGTATAGAGCAATGAGAGCATTCTGTTGCTGTGTTGCAGGGAGTGATGTTTGATTTTCCAATCTTTTCACGAATGTGCCAGCCTCGTGTTCAAAATTTCGAGAATGGTTTTGAGACTTGTCTGCCACTTGACATCTTCTGAAAACAGTTTGGCCCATTCCAGCACTATTGTGGCAAAGGAAATAGTAATACAGACTGTAGTGCCTGCTGCCTCACAGTGATGTTGCACAGATGAAGCTGGTGTGCATTTTGTGCCCCGACGGCACTAACTTAGTTCCCTGTGGCATCTCTGAAAGAAATTCCTGCCAAAGATAGTGCTCCAGCTGGAGTGGTACGCAAGGTTTGCACCTCTTGCAGTCTTTAGGCACTGCAAAAAGATTTTTTTTGTGGCACATTACATGACGCTTCTTACATTCGACATTTTGTGCAGTTAACTTTACAGAGAGATGCCGCTCAGAGACGGCTTGTAGCCGCATGCGTAACTGCGGCAAATATAGAAGCGGAGGATTGGCATCTTGGCAGTCCCTAACGCGGTGCTGCAAAACATCTAGCCTTTTATGCCCTGCATGTGCCACCTTGACTCGGTGTCTGTCCCTTTTCTGTGGCAGGGTGCAAGTGGGCGACGTGGTGGCCAACGCCACCGGGCAGAGCAAGAAGAAATCCAAGCATGCAGCGGCCAAGGTGCTGCTTGAAAAGCTGCTGGCAGATGACGGCCTCTTCTGCAAGTACCGGGCAGCGGTGCTCGAGGACCTGCCCATGATGGAGACTCCGGAGGTCATCCCCACGGCAGTGTAAGTCCAGCACAGGGCAGGCTATCATCATTGGCACGCTCTCGGCAAACTGCCGGTCATACTGATCTTCTAAAGCAGGGGTCTCCAAACGTTTTGGCTAAGTGGCTGGATTGGGAACCTGTCGCATTCTCGAGGGCCGAAAAGTAAATTATTAACGAGAAACACAAACAAAAAAAGACTATATATATAAATCTAAATAAGCATTTAAATAAAAAAATTCAATTTAGAACATAAAAAAAAAGATATATATTTTAAGGTGGATGAATACTTATACTTTATTTTGAAATTTCATATTTAGATAATTATGACATTATACGATAATTGTAAACCAGTTCAGCAGATATAAGTCAATGCAAATAGTAACTTTGGCATATTCACACAGGGTGAGAAACCAATGAGAATGGTAGAACTGATGGTGGCAATGTGCTATAGTTTTGTCGTGGGGCAAATAGTATGCCGTACATAGGACCGTGGAAGAATTTTAACGGAGTTACACTGACACGAAAAAGGGGGCTAAGGACTGTGATGCTGGTGATAACAATGCGCAATAAGTAAGAGAGTAAAATTAAGGCCCCCAATCCTTTGGGTCTTCCAAGCAGCTTGGAGATGTCGCACTGCGCATGCGCAGTGTAACGTCCCAAGTTGGCTGTAGTACCAAAAGTAACTATATACTCTCCGGACCCGCATGCTGTTGCAGTTTTCTCTCGGTCTGCCCAGTATTTCATTTTGCGCATTTGAGGCCCGTCTAGACACCGCTTCTTTACGCACGCTTATTTTTGTGCCGACAGGGCGGACTTTGTTGGGGGGAGCCATGGTCCAGGTGTTGTCGGAAAGACTGCGGCCTTTCGCGCACCGGTCGGGATGCCTCCAAGGGCCGGACTTGGGCTGGGGTTTGGGGACCTCTGTTCTAAAGCATGGGTTCTCCAACTGTGTTCCTTGGAACACAGGGGTTCTCCAGAGTATGCTCATGGGTTCACCAAACTCCCAAATTCCCTGAACCGTCCTTGCTTCCAAGGAATACGTTTATCAAATCTCGACATTCTTTTAGCAGATCTGAGCCACCTACCGATGCACGACTATGAGCCAAATGCACCCCGACATGTGCGTTATCATTTATAAGGTCTGGAAGCTTTTGCACTTTCTTTATTGTATTGATGCCGAGACTGGGTAGGGCTCCTTGGCTACCACTGAACCACTTGAGGCACATAAGGGTTTCCCGAGGTTGAAAAGTTTGGGAGCTAAAAGGTAGCTGGCATTTTTTCGGTATTCCCTACATAGTTGCATCGCTTCATTTTTGTTTCAAGGTATGTCTCTTGTAAACGAGAAAACAAATGTGTGTGCGCAAAGGTGGCCACTCAAGACCGGCTCGCGTGACTTTCTTTTCCCTTCAGTCTTTTTTTTTGTCCTGCGTGGGGATGAGGAAAAAGCCCTCATATAGGAAAACGTACGATCTTTGGATGCTCCTTCTGGATTCGGTGTGATGATTATGCCTTAAAAAAAAAACATACTGGATATCCCGAAAGATAGGCCACCTAAAATCGATAATAAATGGATCAAAATATGGGATGGGCTAACTTTCGGTATACCACAAGAAAAATTAAAAAAAAAAATGCTAGCTTTAGATTTTGTGACCCTTGAAACTTGTGATCACAGCAAGGGGCGATATAGCCGCCTCGGTGGCTCCGAGGCGAGAGCGCCGGCCTACGGATCCCCATGTGGCAGGTTCGAATCCCGGCCGAGGTGCCCGCAATCTGACGGAGGCTTATTGCAGAGAAAGCGCCGTGTAACCGAGTTTTCGGTTGCACGTCAAAAGATCCCCAGGTGGTCGAAATTAATCCTCAGTCCTCCGCTGGGGCGTGCCAGATGCCCGTCGTTGGTTTGGCACGTAAAACCCCCAAATTTGACTTTTAGCAAGGGGCGATGGACCAAAGACAACTCTTTTTCCCAGTCAGCAACATTTGCGTATCTCCTGCCATGATTAAGTAACACCGTTTTTGTCAAGGTCACCATTGGCCAGGGCCCTGCAATTATTAGAAGTGGACTATCTTCTCGTGTTTAGTAACTCGTGCCAAAATTAGGGGTGGGACATCTCTCAGGATATTATGCTAGTTGGACAGCATATGAATTGTTACTCCGTTCATAGCTAAGCTGAAACTGCAGGGGTAGCTACGTGCCCAATGGACCAATCAGCTGCCTTCCTCTTATCACCTGACCCGGCTCTCTGCACCTAGGTATGTGCGGGAGCGTAATGATGTTGCAAAAAAGAGGCATATGACTGGTCCAATGGGGACGTAGCTTTCACCGTAGTCCCAGCTCAGGTTTAACAGAGCATAGTACGTATGCGGTGTTCTAAAATAATCCCGAGACAAAAAAAACCACCTCGGCGGCGCCAGAGCAAAGCGCCGGCCTATGGATCCCCAGTCGGCGGATGGGTAGATGGATGCCAATGGCTGTACCCTTTATATTGGGCGGTAGCTTGCGCCACCTTGTCTAGAAACTAAAAATCACGAGTAGGACTCCTCCCCTCTCCCTTCTAAGCCAATTTGCTTCCCCTCTGGAATTTTGTAACTGGGTTCAAATCCTGGCTGAATTGCCTGTGTTCCGACAAATGATTATTGCTTAAAAGGCACCCTCGGTCTTCAATCCTCGGTTTTTCGCCGGGGCTTGGCAGACGGCCTTTGTTGGTTTGGCACGTAAAACCCACAGACTGGATTTTCCTTCCCAGGGGCGACCTCACCGTCAGCAGCAACGGGGGCGTGCCCGCCGCCACCACTCCAACAACCAACCCCGCCGCGCCGGGCGTGCCCGCCGTGGAGGAGGACGGCATCCCAGGCAACCCCGTAGGGGCCCTGCAGGAGCTGTGCATGAAGCTGCGCTGGCGTCCCCCGTTCTACGAGACGGTCATTGAGGAGGGCCTGCCCCACGAGCGGACCTTTGGCATCTCTTGCCTCGTCAACAACCTCAGCGAGATGGGTGCGTGCTTGACCTCTGCCGTGGTGCTTGGAGTTCGTCTGCAACTGGTGCCACACTGTCGCCGGCCGCAACCCTGGCGGTGCGTCGAGACTGAGAACGACCCACAGCGCTCTGCTGTGGGTCATTCTCCGTCTTGACGCTCCGCGGGAGTTTTGGGGCGGTCAAAAGTTGGGATGGCGCAATTGTGGCAACGCTCGCATTCTCTGACGCTTGTTTGTTTGTTTTTTTTCCCTATTTTTATGTTTGATTATTGGACGGAATGGTACACCAAATGCGACAGCCGGAGACGTGTTTTGGGCACCATGCCTCAGTGAACCGGCTCTTCGGCCGGCAAGCCGCCATCCGCGATTTTCCTCGGCGTGCTCGCAGGCAAAGTGCCGACCGGATGTTTTGCTTTTGACTTGGGACGGTTTCGTGCTAACGTGGAACGCGTTTTAAGGGAAGCAACTTTCTACTTTGTGTCTCTGTCGCCAAGCCGTCTGTTAATTTTAGTGGGCCAATTTCTTCTTCTTTCTTCTTCTTTATTGGTACTGTCAATCGCTTGCGAGATCGTAACAGGAGTGGTACATTGAAACACTTTCAAGCAGGATGCACTTGCTGCGACAACAGAAAACAAAAATCTGAATATGTGGTAGCATTTACAATGTCAGGTGGTAGGCTCTTCCAATCACTGATTGTACGAGGAAAGAAGGAGAACTTAAATATATTGTTTTTATATTTATAGGGCTTTATTGTTTTGCTATGTGTATCTCTGGTCGACCTGGCGCAAAAAAAAAGTTATATATTTATCTTTCTCTATTCCAAGCTCGTAATTGGCGAAAAGGTAAAACAATTTAAGGCGGTTTATTCTCCTTCTTTCCTGTAGAGTTTCCAGGCCTGCGTCATTACAGAGTTTTGGTGGAGATACATATGAGGAGTACATATTATACGCAAAGCGCACTGCTAGTCTTTGAATTCGCTCAAGTTCTGAAATACAAGAAAAGGTATGTGGATCCCAAATGACGCTTCCATATTCTAGCACTGGCCAAACAAGAGTTTTTTACAGTAGTAGTTTTGTATCACAGGAGGCCTGCCTCATATACCTACGCAAGAAACCAAGCTTACGCATTGCTTTACTAGCGGTTGGATTGACATGAACATTCCATTAAAGATCAGATGTTATTGTGAACCCCAGATATTTATATGAACTTACTCTCTGAAGGCTATGGTTCCCAATCGAAGAATTAAAAGTGATAGGCTCCTTTTTTCGAGTAATTGACATATATACAGTCTTTGATAAATGTAGTGACATTTTCCAGTCATCACACCATCTATACAGTTTTTTTAACGAGGCGTATGCGGATCTTTACTGGAAATCCAGAAACAATATCATTCACGAATATTAAAAACAACAAAGGCCCCAGGACCGATCCCTGTGGGACGCCAGAGGTTACGTGTGTAGTACCGGAGCATGGGGTGTCAACTTGTACAAACTGCTGTCTCAAAGATAAGTAACTTTCAAGCCACTTCAAGATTGTAGGTTTCCCGCTACATTTGTTTGCGTGCCACATTTAATGAATTAAATCTGCATTGCCCGGAGGGCATTATAATTAAATCTGCATTGCCCGGAGGGCATAATTGGAGGAGAGTGAGAAATGTACAAATATACAAATGGACACCAATAGGCACCAACTCAACTCTGTCACGTGCGTCACGCCGCAGTAGTGGAACTTCGAGCGCACTTTCAGTCTGGGAGTGTGGGCGGAAGCCGCTATGTAGGACGACCATTCCTGCATTGTTTTGGAAAGAACCAGTCTAAAACCTGCCGTCTCGTCAAAACGCGACTTTTGAAAGAGCCGGGAAGGTGTGAAGATCAGATTTTATATCTTTTCGGCCTGCTCGGTTCGTCGAGAACATGGATAGGTGCCGTCAAAAGGGAAAACCAGACGCTGTCGAATCACGATTACTTGTGCGGGAATCACTTTGGGTTGAACTTGCAGGTACTTGGGTTTATTGGATTTATTTGTTTTGTTCCAACATGAACGCAGGAAAACAGTCGAGTTCTCTGGACTCCTCGGGGACCACTTTCTGTGCGTCTTATCATTCAGACGGCCGTCTGATTGTTCAAACTGTTGTCTGCTCTTTTGAATTTGTCTACTCATTTAAACAACAGCGGCCCGTAGACTAAACATTGACCCGGTAATTGCAGTAAAAAGTAAGTGCGGGCTTCAAAAGACTTCAAAGTTTGAAGGTTGTTATGGGCAAGTAGGCTCAGTGTAAACAGTAGATACAAGATGTTCATCATTGTTACCAGTGGCCGTCACCAACTTGTTATGCCTGATTCACTTGACCTGATCCTGCTTGCGACGTCGAGCATCACAGCTGTCATCCACGCTTGTACAGCCCTAGCGAAGTTGCGACTAAAAACAGCGAGCAGAATCTCATAGTGTAAATCAGGCTCTAGCATCCATTCTTCGGTGTTCACAGGGAATGAATCGCTGCACATCACATTATTTACACAAGGTTTTGCGATGTAACGAGCCTCGTTAATTTCGCTCAGGCCACCAAAGTAGTAAGATATAGCTAGGAAAACGTAGAATCAACAATTCTAACGCAAAGAAGAGCACGGGGACTCGCACCGAGGCCAACAACGTCACATTACAATGATTTCTTGATGCGGGAAGTGATACCCCTTGCCCACACCCTACTGCACATGCGCGGCGCTGGTGGCATGCCGCTAGGGCGCTCCGGCTTGTTTGTAAACATGATTTTGTGTATATGCTGAAATATACATAGAAGCATATACAAAAATTTATAAACATTAATAAACATTATTATCAAGGAAGAAAAATTTATAGTGTAGAAAGAGCGTTAACAGGGTTCGCACGAGTCCTAAAAACCCTTCAATTTGAAAACTGCATTTTCCAGACCTTGAAAGCCCTGGAATTTTTAGCGGTGCTTGAAAACCCTTAAAGGGGGGGTACAACGATTTTATGATTAAAAGATTTTGCATCTTGTCATTTTTACATTGTTTATCGTGTCCTGGAGGATAGAGAAAACATCTCAGTCTTTAAAAAGGTCGCGATTCCGCTGCATAATCGCAAAGCAAAAGCCGAGCTTTTTCCCCCACCTGCAGCCCCAAGTGGCAGCCGAAGGAACTACGGCGGAAAGATTACGTGAAGTCGCTCGGCTCTAAGCTGCAGCATAACGCCCGCTGATGTCAGCAGAGAGAGGGAGAGGAAGCGTCCTCCGAGATAGCACACGGGAACCTACGTGGCACTCCGAATGATGTCACTAGGAGTGCGACCAGGTGTGACCCTGAGGACTAGGAGTGAGTTGAGGGGTGACCGAAATGCCAATATTTATCTTTTTTTTACGCAACAACTAGGACACACAGGCACAATCAGTTTTCTGTTCTTTACTTCAGAAGTGTCAGAGGGCAACTTCCATAAATTTTTGACCGAAGTCCGGAAATCATTGCACCCCCCCTTTAATTGTCCGGTAAATATCCTATTTTTTTCTTGTTTTTTTTTTTTATATAAAGTTTTTTTATAATAATAAAATATAATTATTTATTTTTTATGTGTATGTTAACATAAATTTCAACGTGGAAGTTTTCTTCTGGTAGCATCTCGGTGGTTCCGGATCTGGTGTCGCCCGTCCGCCATCTTGCATTCTTGCCCTCATTCGCCTTGTTCTCTTGTGTACTGTTTTTTAGTTACTCCTGGTGCACTTGTTCCGCATTGTTTTACGCTACACATGGTGGACACAGTCTAAGTTGTGTGCAATACTCGGGAACGGCAACTTTCTGCAGTCGTGGCTGGGCCATGACGACTACAGACACCGAGAAAGCAGATGCAACGGGTGACATCGCCTATATTGTCAAGTCGAACAGCCTAAAGAAAACCGCGAAAACGAAGATGCAATAACTTGTAAACATCAACCAGAAAATCAAGGAAAAGCTGTAGTAGCTCTACTGAACCCTTTATAGCACCTCTTTGGCAAATGCTCCTCTAATTGGTATTGTGCAATAAAGAATTTTCACAGCACATTTCAAAAGTTTATTATATTATAAATTTACCAGATAGAGTAGTGGTAGGGGTCCTTGGAAATATATTTACAGGTGCAAAGAAGTCCTTGAAAACCGTTAAATTTTTTTCTTTGAAGCCTGTACAAACTCTGATTAATCACTTTCGTTTAACACAGATTGGAATAAGTCATTCGAGAGCATTGAAACGACACTACTGGGTTTCCATCCTTCATTTTTATGTGGAAAAATCAGTATTTGAATGACTTGCGTCAGTCCACACCGGGTCACATGGTGTCGTGGTGTCACATGACTTAAGGTGCAAAGTCATGGTATTGCATGACATCATATGATAGCACAATTTGACACCGTCATGTTACGCTATCCGTATTTGAGTGTGTATGCGTTCCGCATATGGGACTTTGACATTTCTCAATGTGAAAGTTAAATTTGGAGTGCCCAGAGTTTTAGTTGTTGAGGCTAGGCGACCACTTTACCGACAGAATCGAGTGTATGAATGCCGACAGCTTTTGTGACGATGGCTGTCATTTTTGCCACTTCGTCAAATGCAGTGTCATTCTCAAGCTGTGTGTCAGCTTTTTGATACCTTGTAGACTGTGCCCAACCTACTCCTAAATGCAGTTGGTAATTTTTTTAATTTTTAAAATTATTTTACAGTGGCTGCAGAATTGCACTTACATTACCATCACCGTATGTGCGGTCACCGCCATAAACTCGAATCGGGCATGTTTCAGACTGATTGGCCAAGAGGGAGAGAGACACGAGCAAAGGGGGAGCAGCAAGTCCCTTCAAGAAACACCGTCCGCTTATTTTGTGCCATTTACCTACAATCTGCTGGAATCTGTAGGAGTAGTGTGTGACTCAACTTTCTATCTTAACGCAGGCAAGGGAAAGTCGAAGCGCCTGGCCAAGCGCCAGGCTGCCTACAAGATGATCCAGCTGATCGAGAACGTACAGAATGGAGAGATGAACGGAGAAGACGTGAGTGCCCTTGGCTTTGCTCGCTGTGACCATGTCTCAACACTACGCTCCCTTTCACCTTACGACGCACTGCGGCATACGTTGCGAGCCGTCCCAGGCGAGCATTTCAACTTCTCTTGTAAAATTGAACCTTACAAACTGCATAAAATAACCAGAATTTTAATCTAAATAATGCAACCTTACCTTGATAACAAATTTAGCCAAGCATTCGGAAAGACGAGAAAATACGGCACGTTTATTTAATTGCTTCGCGTGCAATAAAACAGGAAGTGCGCCAGCCTTGCTATTTAGATTCTTCAGAACCATTGTCCGGCGACGAGTTCACTAACGCAATTCAAAGGGACAATGACGTCTTTTTGAATTGCATTTTCGAGGGCCCGGAGGCACGAGCGACCTCGACGGCTTTCGTATGGATTCACTCTAACGTCACGGGTAGTGATCTGGCGCGCAGATTCCGAATAAAATTTGCCGCCTTTGTTTTCAATTCGGGGTACACTGCAGTCCTTCCACAAAATGAAGTTTTCTTCACATTGCTGCACGCTGCCAGTTTTTGTCTCTGGCCTCGCCAGTAGCGGATGCACCATAGTATGCTCTTCTCCGGTACACCAAACTCTCGCTGCACTGCAATATTCCCGTAAATCTCTGCATAGGCGATTGCCCTCTTCTTGAAGGCTACCGTGAACTGTCTTCTTCTAAATAAAAAAATAAATTATCAGTCCGGGATTGGCAGCGGTAGATGTAACAAAACAAAGAGCTCAAGTAAAAGTGAATTGTGTCCGTCGTGACAAGTGGACGAGTGCTAGGCGATTGCAAAGAAAAACAAGATGACGGCTTCAGCCACCCAGTGTTGCGAGATTATCTTTGTTTTTCTGCTAATGACCGTTATATGAGACAAGGGTCAGCTTTTTCAGGTCCATTTTCAAAAATAAATTTGACCTATATTCTGGTCTGTACGGTAGTTTGTTTCCCGTGTTCTTCGAACAAAGTGGTCATGCTCCCAGCTTCCCGGATGCGCTCAATGAAAACCCGTAAACCGGGCACGTCGCCATTTTGAATTCAACTGCCTTGTTATGCAGCTAGCTACTTTGCGCCATAAACCTTTTCTCAACATTAACGCCCGTATTACGACAAATTATTGTCAGAGTACAAATGACAGCAATAACGGAATTGCCCTGCTCCGCTGACCTGTTGCTCCCCGCCGTGCCGGGGCCAGATGATGTGGATGTCGCCCAATTCGGGTGGATCGGCCACATCTGCCCGTAGTCTGACAAAGGCTTATTGCGGAGACGGCGCCGAGCGACCGAGATTCTGTTGCACGTCAATATACTCCAGGTGGATAAAATTATTCATCAGCCTTCTGCTCAGGCAGGCCAGATGTCCATCGTTGGTTTGGCACACAGAACTCCCAGACTTGCCCTTTAATACCCTTTTCATTCTTCTTTGCCTCCCTTCGTTCTGTGCCCCCTGCCAAAGAATAATCACGTAGGGCAGTGCTTCTCAAATTCTGCTACCTTCCTACCTTGCAACCCATTAAACATATGACGTATTGCGATGCGACCCCCCCTTTTCCCTCGGGGATTTTCTTGCTGCCGCAAGTTTTTTGCATTCCAGCGCATAAACGGTAATGACGCAAAATTATCGGAAATACTTGTTGACAATCGGAATATTCGGAGTGAATCACCTGAGCAATAAAAACCATATCTAAAAAATAAAAAATGAAATTGTATGCCTACCAGCAGGACTGACTCTTCCTAATGGCTAAAGTGAGCTTGTTTGTTAGAAAACAGTTTTTCAGAACGAGGGCATAGTTTGGGCACTGCAATTCTCAGCTCCGGTTCCATGTCGGGCTGCAACCTGTACTTCGTTTTAATGCAAAAGCATTAACTGTCCCGTGGAGTGAACCGGCGTTATCAGCTTTTAAAGCCGTGCCAAATGGCACCTAAACTCCCCTGTCCCAATGGAGCGAAGCCTGTCGTCTGTAGCAGCTAATTCATGGATAAACTCCCATTGGCCGGCGCGCAGCATAGTTCCAAGGAATGCCAATCCGCAGAGAAGCCCTCTCCATGGCTCAGCAAACCGGCCGCCGGTAAGAGGGAGAGGGTGGCCGGGCTCTGCTGTGCGGCCGGCCGCAAAGCCCGCCCAGGCAGTCTCTGTAGAGGTCGCCTGGCAGGGCTCAGCGCGGTGCGCAGCTTGTAAGAGTACACTATGTATACAAATGCATTCCGACACGTTAGTGGTCTTAAGTGTCTTCGTAGTTTTTTTTATTGAGGTTACCAGAGAGACACCAAGTTTGCATAATTTAATTTCCCGGGCCGCCTTGCGACTCCCTGCTGAGCATGTCGTGACCCCTTTTGGGTCACGACTTACAGTTTAAAAACAATAATGTAGGACTGTTTTTTGTCATCTGTGCAGTTTGCTTTTTCGATTTTGTGAACGTCACGAAAAAAAGTTTTGGTGTTTGATTCAACGTCTGACTTTATGGCCGCTACTTCGCACTATTTGATTAGAATTCGATTTGAAGTGAAATCTCATTATTCGCACATCTCCTGTTTCAATTTCTTCCCAGGTCGCACAATCAGAACTGTGTTGTGTTCGACACGTTTTGCTAACTCATTTGTGTTACTCGCATGAACATGTGCTTCTTGTTCAGTGAGAACTAGCCGTGGCATTGGCGTTCCGGTTTTTAATTTTAAGCATATTCAGTTTTCGGTAATTTGGATCGTATCTCAACGTTTGTGACAGCAAGGCCGAAGTGAACACGACTGCAAGGAAGGATGCTGCAAAGCACCCTGCCACCTCGGAACCGATAGACGGGAACGGACTACATTTTGATCAATAGTGAGCACACTTTAGCTAAGTTAAAATGGTATGCAGCAAAGTATTCTTTGCATCACGATTCATGTAGGTTCCGCGTAAGCAAGTGTGCGGCGAGCCTTCTCCTCAGTCTCAAAAACACCTGAGCCTAATGCTTGGATTGTGGATAAGAGCATCAGTTGCCTCATGTATTCCCGAGCTTCATATCTTTTGGAAAGAAAGATTGATCACTCATTTCCAAGATTTCAGAGGTAGAAGTTGGGAAAATACCTGGACTCAGTGTGCCGATGGCACTTTTATGGTAGGCAGCTCGATCACACTCGGTGCTCCAGGACTGGGAACTTGAACATTGATGGCAACTGACTGTTTTATAATTCTATGCAACGAAACAGCTCTAGAATTGATTTGATACATTCACAATTTTCCGAAATTCCTTCGTGCACTCGAATCTTGTTATCTCAAGCCACTCGTGCAAAGCACATATCTGTTGTGGTGGCGTTGCAACAAATGAAACACCAAAACTAATTCAAAACTGTCGTAAAAAAAAAAAAAAAAAAAAAAAAAAAAGAGGTCAGATTTACAAAGAGCGTTTTAGGGTACGACAACTTAGCTGAGATGTTTTTAAGTTACAGGGGTGGAGCGGCTGCGCCATTTTGCGCCAGACGCATTTGTCTGCGCCACCCTGCGCCATTATGCGGCAGCGCCACAGCCAATGCCATAATCAGAGGTCGGCATTTTAGGTCGCCCTCACTCACCCTCACCCTCACAGCCACACTCACCTAAACCCCTCACTCACCCTCACCCTCACAGCTACACTCACCTTCAGCCCCTCACTCACTCTCACCCTCACAGTCACTCACCGCCCTCACGGCCCTCACGCCCCTCACCGCCCTCACCGCCCTCACGGCCCTCACGCCCCTCACTCACTCATGGCCCTCACGGCCCTCACTCACTCATGGCCCTCACCGCCCTCACGGCCGTCACCGCCCTCACGGCCCTCACGCACTCATAGCCCTCACGCCACTCACCGCCCTCACCGCTCTCACGGCCCTCACCGCCCTCACGGCCCTCACGGCCCTCACGCCACTCACCGCCCTCACGGCCCTCACACCCCTCACGCCCCTCACGCACTGATAGCCCTCACGCCACTCAGGCCAGCTTCAGATGGGGCAATTTCGCCCAGAAACTTTACGTCGCAACACCAGCAACACGGGCCGCCCGCGATCACACGCAGCAACCAATTGCTGCAATTTGCCATCGTCATCATAAAATTTTATTGTTCTTGCACTATTTAGACACAATTACGCGTTATAAACGTGTTTTTATGCATTTAATTCTCGTTAAGAATACTAATGCACCCTTCTGAAACAGTTTATTCCAAAAAACGATCGATTTCAAACCAGAACCAAGTCTTTCGGTGTCATCATCACCGGCACGAGGTATCATGTGAAAAGTTTGCGTCCCTGATTAGATGCAGCCGGTTTAAACGTATTCGAATTGCTCCGAGTTGCTTACTTATTTCGAACCGGACCCGATCTCAGCAATTCGTGTCGATCTAGGGAAAGCTAGAAAACAACCCGCCATTAACACCAAAATTGCTGAGAAAGATGCTCGATCTGAAGGGGGCCTCACGTACTCACCGCCCTCGCGCACTCATGGCCCCCACACCCCACTTCATGCACTCACCGCCCTCACGCCACTCACTGCCCTCACGCACTCATGGCCCTCACACCCCTCACGCACTCACCGCCCTCACACCACTCACGCACTCATGGCCCTCACGCCACTCACCGCCCTCACGCCCCTCATACCACTCACCGCCCTCACCGCCCTCATGGCCCTCACGGCCCTCATGGCCCTCACCGCCCTCACGGCCCTCACCGCCCTCACCGCCCTCACGGCCCTCACCGCCCTCACCGCCCTCACGGCCCTCACGGCCTTCACCGCCCTCACGGCCCTCACGGCCCTCACTCACCCTCACACTCATGAATTTTCCTGGTTCAGAAACTCACTCACCCTCACCTCACCTGTGAAGATGAGGGTGAGTGAGGGTGAGTGAGGGCCCTCATGAGTGAGGTTTGCCGAGGTATGGCCATAATGCACCAAAAAAATTTTATTTTGCCTTGGTTTTGGCTTTTATCGACTCGATTGGCAACAATGAGCGCGTTTAGTTTGGTTGGCCTTACAATCCTTTGTTGTGTTTATTCTCCCTGTGTATCCCGAGTCGAAAGCGCGCGAAAAAACTCGTGGGTTGGATTCCAAGCGCTACGCCACCTGCGACTGGATTGTTATTTCTCAACCATAAGCGGTTAAGCAAGTCGGCAGAGGTGAAGTCGAGTCGGTAAACGTCAGATTGCCTGAGGCTTTGCGGCCCGGGATCCGGGCGTCAGCCAGTTGAAAACAAATGAGCAAAAGATTCCTTTTAGTACTTTATTGTTAGAAGTTGGAACCGCATTTCCGCAAAATAAATCGTGATTTGATAGAACTGAAACGCGGTCCGATCCGAAATTTTGCCAGCCAGCCGCTCTCACGCGAGGGATAAATCTGCTCGGCGTACTTTAGCCTTGCTCCTGCTTATCGCGTCGAATACGATGACTCCGTTAATCGTAGTCTGCTGCTTCGATATTGAGTTGCACAATAGGATAAACTCGAAATCTGTTGCCTTGTTCCTCTGCGCAACTCCACGTCCGTTGCTTACGCACGTCACGAGGTTCACACATATAATTCATATGTCGAGGATGTGTGGGTCGTGCGATAAGCAGTGCTGGTTTGCATTTTGAGCATTTGAAAGCAACTCAGAAAATATAAATGACACTATCTTCAGAAACATATGGTACTTACTTCTTGGTTCTCATTAAGGCTCACAAAGTTTCATGTTTTTGCATCCGTTACACTGTTATCCCATCTACCTAGGTCCCTCACCACTCATGTTCATCTGTGCTGCTAAGCACAATTGAAATTGCTCCCGTGCTTGTCTAAAGGCCCGTTCACACTCTTGCGACTGCTTGCGACCTCTTAAACCTGGGTTCCTTAAAACTTCTTAAACCAGAGAACACACTGGCGCCATCTATTGGGAAGCAGTGTAAACTCGGCGGTCCGGCATATTTTTTTTTATTTCTCGCGCAATATCCTTTCTTTTTTGGCTCGAAAAACTTTTGTCAATGGTATAAACGAGCCTTTCTATGGGTATTACGCACATTTGACCTCGGAAATCCCGCAAAACCTTCGCTTTTGTGAAATGCAGTTCTAGGGTCACCGCATAGATGGCGCCACAGGAACACACACAGTGTGTTCCCTCATTCTAGAAACATTTAAGAAGTTGTAAGAGATCTCGTCTCTCTCAGTCGTACTCGGTCGCAAGAGTGTGAACGGGCCTTAAGACACAAGCTGAAGTGCAATGAAAACTGATCTGAGCTTCTCCTAGCCTGCTCCAGAACATAGTTTTAGCTGCTGCCAACCTGCTCCAAAACAGCTGTTTCAGCTGCTCCCATGGCTGCTGCTGAGTACATCTCATGAGTTCCACCCCTGAAGTTACGATCATCGTAAAGCATAGAGAAATCGGCATTCACAAACACATTCTTAAATGAGAGGAGGTAGGTGACATTCTCGTACGGGAAAACTAGAACTTGCGGTTTCCCGCAGGCTCTCGATCCCCGCAAGAGCAGACTATTGCTATGGCGACAGCTTCTTCAGCAAAACGAACAACTAACGGGAGAGCTTGGCACGTTCGGAGCACGTGGATTTTGAACAATAACAAACGCAGGCTGCCTCTCCGCCAACGCTTGTCTGGCATCGTGTCCGTGTAGTGAAATGTCTGCGCTACCACGATCTGAACGGGCCCGAATGTCAAGGCCAGGATAACTACCTTTGTCAACTGCCATGTACTCGATCGCTATGAAGTCAACACAACTATCATCGTTGCTAAAAGGAGATGGCCCGTGCCACTCGTTTGCGAAACGGTGTACAGGAAAACAAAACTTTGCGGCGTCTTTCGCGGCCTCTGAGATGCGGGAGGGAGCCGACGTCCGAGAAGATGTGTTTGAAGTACGAGAGTATCAACAAGAGCCACGTAAATACCTGTTCACACCGGAAACGGACACATGCGTGCTTGATCGAAGCGCTGGATCCGTGCTGCTGGACCGCGTCTTGGGAAGTGCTTCGGGACCGATAATTTACAATTGCAACTCGATGCTGTTGTGACACTCGGAAGAAGGAAGGTTGGACCGCCATTGCGTAACTCCCACGAGCTGCCCTAGCTCGGCAGTGTTGAAGTATTGTTGTGTCGGAATAAAGAGGACATACTAATAACAAAGTGTATGTACCATATGCTGCAAAAGTAATTCATACGGCATTTATTTGAGCTCTATACCACACAAAACAAGGAGACAGAATCGATGAGAGTGTCCCTTTTTGACGAGAGCGGTCACCACCGCTGCCCCTGAAAACAAGGGGATGACAAGAGAAAGAAACTGAACTATTAATTGAAAATTGAGGTCAGCGATCAAACTATTCGTACGGGAAGAGACCACGAGGGTCGCGCGGCCATACTCCATTCAGCGAGCCAACCGGTCGTGGGCAGACGGTATTGGCCAGAGACCGTCGAAGCAACGCTGCATCGGAGTGCCTTGCTAGGCCTATATTCTTCTGAGCTAGTTCTTCGCGGTCGCGCGGTCGATGGGATTGTTACCGTTGTAGCCTTTTCCGGATGTCTGTGGATCCAGCGTTCATATCCGTCGTAGTTGGTTTCAAGTAGTACTTTATTTTTTTCTTGCTTCTTGAAGTCGGGGCGCGCGTGAAGAGCACATGGAAAGATAAATGTCTGTTGGTTGTCATGACCAAGTAACTGAGCGGCGCTGTAGGCCATGTTAATTTGATCGTAAAAAGTGTGTAGACACCTCCGCAGCTGTCGTAGGATTCTATCGTAACTTACGCAAAACTTATAATAATTTCATTTTGTGAATACGAATTTGTTCTTAGGCTTTGTCGCACACACATTTTTGGCGTAAGATTGTTTTGTGAATCTGGCCTCTGGACTTTGAAAGTTTTGTTTCGTAATCACTTCAGAAAAAAAAAAGACAGTTTAGAAAGTGTAAGGTTTGTTTGCCTTTGACATATGCATCACTGCTTTCTGCTGTAGTTCAGAAATTTCGCCAGCAGAGTGAGACTGGTAACCTACGATTTTTAATGTAAATCGTGCAGTTGTAATTGCACAAATGCACACCGATAGGATGCTCACCCAGATCTTTGCGGCCAAGGGGAGGAATGGAATCCAAAATCTTTGGGTTCTGCAGCGCAAGTTGTCGTTTCACGTGCTTTGAGCTGTGGTCCTCTTACATTCGGTCCCCAAACCTTGGAACATGAGTTCAATGGCTCGTTTAACATTGTAATTGAGTTATCCACTGTGTGTCTCAGTTGCTACACAGGAAAAAAAAAAAGAACGGACCGCCACTGATTTTTAGATTATGTTCTGGAAAGTGATTGCATTTGGCCGCTGAGCCACCGCGTCACCAACCCCCGACTTTACCTTTTATTTTCAGCAGTGATCCCATGATAGTGTTCCTACTTTGCACCACATAAGTTTGCGGTGGTTTGGTACTGGTAGGATGAAAACCTCGTGTCTTCCCTTTAATACCAGTTCAGAGCACCCGAAACACTCTGTCTAGAGGTTATAGCAACGGAGGTCGACGCAGACAACTACTGTCTTTGCTGGAGTGGTAGACGCACTGTTTATTAGCAAGTGCTTCGGGGCCTGCTTTTCCACAGAGCAGACATACAGCTGTCGATTGTGTCCTACATAAGAAGCACAGACAATAACGAGGTTGACAAAACAATGTTCTGTGGAAATGTGATCTATACAGATGGCTTTTTCTGGTGAGGATGTTATCTCTGTGCCGTAAGTTGCTTTGCTGCTCCTGTTGACTCACAATGGTCAACATACTCTGCGGAAAAGTGGACGTGCAGGCTTCGTTAATAAATGGCGCGTCCGTTACTCAGGTAAATGGGGTAAGCACCGGGCACTGCCTGGCAACTGGAACGTAGGAACTAAAGCCCTTACAAGTAGTGACAGGCGGAAGCAACTGATGATGCAGGCCCTTGGAAGCGAATTACAGTGCAGGGGCGAAATGAATGGCTCTTGGAAGTAAATGGCGACGCAGCACTCGCTTGTGACATGTTTCTCGTGCCCTCGCACGACAATGGTTGTTGGTACTTGTCAAAATAGTGAAGCAAGAATTTTACCAAGGGATCTGAGGATGTAATCCACTTCATTGGCATCTTCAAACATCTCGCTCATCAGACTGACCATTATCATCGGTGCACCGGTCGAGTGAACCAAAGTGCTCGCTTTTTCGCGTTGGCGGTCAACAACGTCGGTTGGAATTAAACGTCTCCCTGTGTGTGCCTACCTCGCCCGATCTTCCTCGCAGCGTGGTAGAGGTGCGGGGTAGTGGTGGGCTCCGTCGTCATTGTGTCTGGTTTCGTACGTCATCCTCCTGTCTCCGCTGCATATGCGGCAATACTGTGCGAAATGGCCTCGATATCCGGAATGGTCAGAACAGACAGGTCAGAACCAGCTAGCCCTCACCCTCGTGTCTTGTCCGCTTCCAGGAGAAGTTTGGCGAGCCCGGCGGCCTGTGCGGCGGCGGCCTCGGCGGCCTGGTGGGCAACACGGGCGTGAGCGTGGGGAGCGTGCTGCAGGAGGCCAAATGCTACATGGGGCTGAAGGAGCAGAACATCAACACCCTGACGCCCCGGCACAGCCAGCAGGTGGGCCAGCTGCTGCGCCAGCTGCAGGGCTCGGACGGCGCCCGCCTGGGCTCCCTCCAGGGGACTCCACTCAACACGGCGGGCCTGGACTATGTCGGGCTGCTGCGGGAGATTGCCGACGAGCAGAGCTTCGAGGTCACCTACGTGCCCATAGACGAGCTCAGCACAGACGGTGGGTGGACTCCCTTCTTCCGCCGCCGGGGCATCTTGTTAGCAGGGTTTCGAGGGGCTTACGGACGGGTTTGTGTCGTCTGTGTCGCTCCCTACGACGGTTTGTGAGCAATGGACCTTTTACCAGCAATAATCTGCGCATGCGTGCATGCTCTCCCCTGGCTTTGCCTCCCACTGTCGCCATTTTTGGAGGGCGCTGTCCCGTGTGACCAAGATTGTCGGCAACCATCTTTTGCGCAAATCTTATCTTTTTTAGAGCGCAGCTCTTAGGGGCCCGTTCCCGGCTTGAGCGGCGTCGCCGTCGGCGTAACCAAGGTCATCTCAAGGTCACGTGACCCCACGTGATTCCCAAGGTCACGTGACCCCTCGAGGTCACGTGACCCCTCCCAAGGTCACGTGACCCCAAGACCCCACGTGACCCTTTGAAGGTCACGTGACCCCCAAGTCACGTGACCCCTCTGAGGTCACGTGACCCCCGAGGTCACGTGGTCTCCTCCCCAAGGTCACGTGACCCCTCCCAAGGTCATCTCAAGGTCACGTGACCCCCACGTGACCACCAGGTCACGTGACCCCTCTGAGGTCACGTGACCGTGACCCCGAAGTCACGTGACACCCCCCCCCCCCCCCCCCCCCCCCCCCCCCCCGAGGTCACGTGACCGCCCCCCCCCCCCCCCGGAGCATATTAAAGAATGAGGGGAGGAGGAGGGGTCTACCCTCCCCTCAGTACCCTTCACTCCTCCTCCTCAAGAGCAGCGCTCCAATTCGGCGTTACAGGGATTTGTAAACGGCTTTCACTTTTTTTTTTTTGTATTGGGCATGAAAAGTGAAGAAAATTAGTGCTACAGCACGATGCCAATATGTTTTGACGAGTGGAGGCATGTTGGGTTGGCCGTCATCCGTAGTTCACAGACCATCCCCCGGACTGTGCTCGTTGCTCAAAAAAGGTCCGTAGACCAGTTGCAAAAATCATGAAAGGCCGTACACATAACTTTCTTTATGCTTCTCCTTCTCCCAAAGCCTCTATCATGCGATACTGAAGAGAGGGAGGAGGTAGCATCGAACACTTTACTAGGGAGAATACATTCCACTCTGCTCCTTTCCAGTAGACAGCGTGCTTAGAGTGCCAAATCCTCCCCTAGCAGTGTAAGCACGTCGTGTGCGAGAGCATCCATTTGCGTCGCAGTGTCTGCGCAGTCGTGCAGTACCGGAGGAGGGGGCTGCCGCCGGCGCACCGAGATACTGGGTTTGTTGAGACAGCAGAGACGGTCTCGCCTGGTGCTAGGGGTGCCCACTATGAATAGACGGCGGCAATTCAATTTAAAGGAGAAAATCCTACACATCCAGCCGTTCCAACTACAGAAAACTTGTCCCCACCGAGGCTATAGTACATTTGTGGAATAAGAAATTATTTGGTAGCACAGTCGTGCGCCTGCCCTCACACACTCGCTGCCGTCGTCGCCGTCGCCATCGTCTGCTACGGCTAACGCTCCTGCCCGTCCTATACTTGCAGTTCCCAAAATTTTTTTCGGCACTGCATGTAGGGCACTGCTCTTTTTGCAGCAGGTCTGTTGACCGCGTTGTGAAACTTGGAAGAGTATTCTTGTAAAAGGGCTTTTGGTTAATGGTTAATCTGATTCATGAGGCACTTCCTGCAACTCAGCTGTCTGAGTCAAATGCTGAGCACCTACGTCGGCTCGCCGACGGAGGAGACTAAGACGGACGGGGTGCCTCTCACAGGCAAGCACCAGTGCCTGGTGCAGCTGACGTCCCTGCCGTTGGCGGTGTGCTTCGGGACGGCGGAAAGCCCCGAGCAGGCGAGGGCGGCTGCAGCCCGCAGCGCCCTGCAGTACCTCAAGATCATGACCAAGAAGTGAGGCAGGCAGGGTACCTGGCTCAGCAGCATGCTGGTCAACCTGGATGAACAGAGGAGTTCTGCCGCACGGCAGGTGAGTCTCCGCTCTTTGGTCGTTGACGGCCGATGTAACGCGTCCCGTTCGGCAGGCCGTCAGACGGAACGTCTCGACGGGCTGTCCATTACGGTTGCTGACGAGGCGAAAGCGGCAGGGAGGAACTTTGGTAATCCCGGCTCCGGTGCAAGGCTCCTACCTTCGATGGCGCTTTGGCGTGTAGCGCTTGCTGGAGACCGGTTGCTGAAAAGATGTGCCACATTGTTCTAACTCTGTCAGGGACTTAAAAGGTGTCGTGTTCGACGACCTGTACGGGAGATCTAGCGTGGTAACTGACAGGGCAAGGATAGCAGGGCACCTCTTTCGGATGGCCGGCGACTGCACGTGCGCGTTGCCTTTCGTCGCACTTTGACTGCCATGCACTCTTGGACACGGAGGCGTCATCAAGGACGGGAAGTTTGCACCGGAGTGGGGGGGGAGACCAGAACACAGCAAAAGAGCTCAGTCAAAGCATAGTGAATTTTGGGGTGGATTGCAGAAACGATGCAGTTAGTGCGGGTAAGATAGTTAGGGAAAGCTAGAAAGGGTCTGGGTATTTAAAAGTACTATCACGGGAGACACATTGAGAAAATGTTTTTTTCCCCCCCCTCCCTCCCCTTCCCTAACCTTTTTCTGTTGAATGATATCATGTGGCTCATCACGCGGGCGCCGCTCCGCATGTTTCGAGTGGGCATTCCCAGTCACTCTGTCTGCCCCTCGAACAATGTTTTTAAAGTATGGATGCAGTTCCTTTAATCCTTCCAGTGTTATAGGAAAGTCCGGTGCTATAGTCGATGTGAATGTCGTTCTAGAAGTGTCTGGTAACTATGAGTGCAACCTGGTAATTCCAGAAGGAAGTCTCGCTGTACAGTTGGCGACCGATTTTTCAGATGCCGATAATACAAACTTGTTCAATATTTTGGAGATAAAGGAAGAATTGTGACCTACCCAATGGGAACTAGTACATACTGACAACCGATGTTTTTGACAGCTTGAAATCCCAAAGTTCAATTTTTCAGGCAAAATCACCGCGAACGGTCAGCAGAAAACACCACCGAGAAACTGCCATTTTAGATTTTATGTTGGCTGCACATGGATTGGCTTGGTTTGGCAGCGCTACTTGAGTACTGCCAAGTCCTACCACTAGGTGACGCTATGCTACAGATTTTTTTTCTCTAGCTGCACGTCATTATCGTCATCATTGTTGCCATTTTGCTTTGTTCATTTGCCATTCTGTAGTCATGGACCTGCGCCTCTCATTTCGTCTCTGTAAATCGTGTTTTCGGACTGCGCTGGCTTGGGTGTCATCGCCCCATCTGTTCTTCCGCCACCGTGGAGTGTTGCTAAGAAACACGGAAAGTACTCGACCATAATGCTAGAAAAGAAGGCAGCGATTCTCAAGCTAATATAAAGAGGCTGAACGCAAGTGGAGGCGTAACTTGAAGCAAGGCACTATTGACGGCGTTTTTAAACCCGCTTAGGCATAGTAACAGGCAAAATCTGCTGAATTTTTGGACGGCTTTATTATTCGGACGTCAGTCCGTGCGAATTCCGAGAAATCGGTCGGCTAATGTACATGTGCTTGTGCATCGAAAGCACATTAGAAAAATGTCACCGTCTGCACACAGCTCTTCAAAACACAACAATGATGCATATATTATGTCAGTGAATAAACATTATTTATAATGTGACTGGGTCAGTGGCAGTGAATAGCTTCAAAGTAAGCAATGTGAACGGTTAGGTCGAGATATAAGTTTCGTATACAAAGAAAACTGTACACTCAGGGAAACAAAAATGTAGTTGCTTCTAAAAAAGCTATACTTGACTAGAAAAAAGAAAGCTCAGCACCATTTCAGACTTACATTTAAAGTTGGTGTCAGAGATGTTGGATGTTGCATAGAAAATTACTGCTTGTGACACCAGAAACAAGCTTGCTTTTTAATCTTTGACCTATCACTTTGCACCTTGTTTAAAGTTTGTTCCCAAGCTCGTAACACTAGTGTAAGGTAGAAAAGGAAAACGCAGTTCTGACGCCATTTTAGTGACTTCCTCATTGGGGTGCTTGCGAGTCTTTTATTTTTTTAATTCTCTTCAGTCGGTGATTGAGATACTGCCTCTAACTGTATCTCTCCTGTTTCTCTTTCTTGCAGAAAACCCTAGCATTTTGATGTTCAAGGTACCTTGTTCAAAGAACCCGTCTCTAGTCAGAAGGCGAGCACTTCAGCTTTTGGCTGTTCCCTCCTCTTCGTTCACCCGCGTCCTTAATCCGACCTTCGAGCAGTGTTGCGTTCACCAAAACCCCTCACGGCCAGAGCATTCACTCACCATTGCACCAAAGAATCAACAAAAATTGACACCATGGTAGCGTTAGCTGAACCAAGTAGGTCCTTTAGTTTAATCTGGATAACTCTTAAGTCTCTGTCGAGTCTTTAGCGGACATTGCTGTCGACATTTTGGAATTGTCACCCTTTTTCAATTGGCTGTTCTGGCTTCAGTTTTATAATGAAACAAAATAGAAATCTTATCTTTGATTCTACTGATACATCAAATTACATTCAAAAGCAAGAAGGAGTCGCGTAACACTGATTTCGCTGCTGAAGCGTTTCATTGTGCGGAGCCATCCTTTTGAAATTCCAAGTTTGGCGAGGATGCAATGCTCTTTAGCATCTTTCTTGTTAGGTTCTGTGTCGTTTAGTCGGGCTGGACCCACTTGTACAGAGCAACAGGCCCTTTCTTACTGTAGGACCGGTTTCATCCAAAAGCATTTGGTCCGCTCCTACAGTAAGAATACGCCTGTCGTTTTGTCGAGGTGGGTCCTCAACTTGGAACATTGGTCATTCGTGTTCTCGTCGGGTGCCTGCCCTAAAGTGGAAGTGCGGTTTGGGAAAGAAGGAAAGAAAAACAAAATGACTGCAGGCAACGAAATGACCACGATTTTCATTATTTTTTTGAACGGACGCTACAAAGGAGGGATGAAGAGCGTGGCAAGACTGCCTATTTTTTGGGGTGAGCAAAGCCAAAAATTTTTCGTGAACGAAGATGGGGGAACAGCCGGCTACTCTAGCAGCAGGAAGAGTTTTTCTTACATTCCGAGCAACTGGAGGATTGGACTACGGGCATCAAATGATCTGAAAGTCTGGAGATTGGGAGGGAGGAGAGCCACACCATGTAATCACTCTTTGCAAAGCACCTGTGTTTGTCGTCGTTTCTTTTTTTTTTTTTCCCGTTTGTCACGGCGCGTGAATATTTGTCGCCTACATGAATTTTGTTTGAAATGCATTGCTACTCGTGTAGTTTGTCTGACCCAAGGTCTTAACTTTAGGAGCGTCGTTCGGTTTGGCGTGCCGACCAAGAGTTTGAGTCACTAATCGTGCTGATGCGGTTTATGCAAGTTTTTTGTTTGCGACATTGTCCCTTTTTACCAAGAATAGACCCGACACTTTTTGTCTGTGCCTTTTTCGTTTTGTTTTTCTCAACATGGTTGTGCTTAACTCCTTTTCGTAAGTTTAGCCTTTGTTCAGACGAGGACGCTTGATTTTGTGTTTTGGTTCCACAGATTTTGTATCTTTGGTTGCATGCGGCAAAGGTAGTAGCGTTGGGTCAGGACCGGCGAGGATAATATAATCGTGGCTGAAAACTCACAGTCGTCATTACTACCGTAGGTGGAAGACTTCTCTGAACTACTTCGAATCTTGTAGGCTAGCTTTTTTCCCAATTTCCAACCTTTCATCGAGTGACAAATAAATGCTACTCAAAAACGACCGAGCAGTGTTGTGTTTCTCTTGGTGTTATGCTGAATTGACCAGAGTTCTGGTTTACTAATATTGGGTTTTTGATAAAATTAGGAGACCAAAGACACCGTGAAAATTTGATATACACTTGGTACACTTTGCTTTATAGGTGGTGCAGTGCAATGGTAGGGTTGTATAAACGTGGTGCTGGCATACGAGTCTGAGGGGGAAGGAAAGCAGGTGTCAACAGTGATGGGGGTTTTGACCAGGATACTGGAGAATATCACGCTCAAGAAGGTGGGATACACAGTTCGAGAGATATCTTGAGTAATTCTTACGTAGACATTCTGAACTAAACATGCACCACACTGCTCCTGATGCCGACATGTTTTATGGCTTTTGTTATGAATGGTGTAGGGCGGCAGACCCCAACAACGAGTATCTGTTGACGACGCAATTGAACTATAGTGAGTGCGTTCTGCAGTTTTTTTTGGTACACTGCTCGGTGTTTATCATATACAGGAAAAATCAATCCCCTTGCCAATTCTCGTGCCACCACATGGCACACCAATGGCTGTCTTGCACCCATGCCGTTGATGAATACTAGTGAAAACACTTTCTAACTAAAAAACTTTTTAACAGTACGAGAAATAGTTGCTTATAACGTTGGTATCGTTTCAAGCAAATGGAGAGAGAGTGATACTGGGCACCAGTAGTCAAGGTGTGCCAAATTGCTCTCTATCCTATTGTGAAACAGGCAATCAAATACTAATGGTGGTATCATGTATGCACATATTGGTAATATATATGTGAAGTAAGCAACATCAACAAAATTTTTTTGTGGACTATCTGTGCACATATGCAACCCTCAAGTTTGCTGTGGCAATTCTTATTTTTTGGGTTGCCACGGTGAACTTGGCATGTTGAGGGTGCAACTCGTGAGTGGCAACCCTTGTGATACAATTACGTTGGGATGCTGTGTATTTTCTCATTGAGGCAGCCCATCTCTTCTTGGGGAGCCTGGTATGTTTTTTAATCTAATCATTTCTCGACCGACCAAATAGGCGTCTGGAAATATTTGCGTCCGTCCCTGTTTTCATGCCGCATAAATGTCGGGCTCATATTTGACCTGACTTTAATCTTTAATTTGACCAGGGTATTTTCACACAACAAAACATAATTTTGAGTCTCCTTTTAACGTTACAGAGTAGCCAACTCTCGCCAAGTTTACGGAAGAAATTCTCCGGAGTAGCATCGCCCCTCGGAAGAGGTCTTTAGACTTGCCAGACGAGTTTTCTTTTTTACTTCGTAGCACTACTTTTTCTCTCGGCGCACTTTTTTTCTTTTCTTTGCGTCACACGCTCGTCACCACGGCGGCGCGCAAGCCGGCGGAGCATGCGGCGAAGTAACACCCGCGCCATTTTCTTCAATGCTACCGGCTCCACCAATCGGGGACGGCGCTGGTCACGTGGGCCGCTCTGCCGGCAACTTTTTCTCAACTGGATGGGGGCGCCTCGGCGGCTTTTTCCCGGTCCGCTCTCGAAAGTGCGCTCGTGCTGAGACAACTCAAAAGGTTGACTTGCGCGTCCCAAGTTGGTCGGTGCGTGTGTGCGCGGGATAACGGTGCTGTTTGCCGCTCGCTGTCGGATTTTTGTGCATCACCACCTCGTGGTTGTCACCGTCAACTATGGCTTCCAAGTGAGTTGGAACGACGTATTTGTTTATTATTACCATCGATGGTAGATTGGTGTCGACCTTGCGACTGCGCAAACTCGCGCATATGTGAGCGAGCGCGTCATCAGCGCGCGCTGTGTCGGATATCTTCGGCCGAGAATCGCCACCGCTCCAACTCCGGGCGTGCTGTTCGATCGCGTCCCATTGCGGAATGCTCGAAGGGGCAACAGAGTTGTGTGCATTTGTTGTTTGCTCGTTCGATTTTTGTTTTGCGACAGGTTGTGCAACTTTTGCCCGGTTGTACAACAACTTTTTGGAGTTTTGGCACGAGTGATATCCAAATAATCGTTGAATCTTTTTTTTTATTATCTTGTACTGCTGTCTGACATTAGCTGTGCCTTTTAATCAACGTGACAACATAATGGAGCGAATTTTGTTATGTATATGCAGTGAAACGAGCAACAAGTGGCATCATTAACTTCACTGTTTTCTCCTTAGTGTTGGGGTAAAGTACATTTACCCCAACAAGGTACAAAGCAAATGAGGCATTGTACTTAAAGCGAAGTAGTAAGTACACAGAACGCAACATTCTAAAAGTAAAGTGCAATTAGTACAATGTACTTTCAAAGTAAAGTACGTTTTAACATAATCTTTCGTGATCCCTTTCATTCCCTTATAGTCTTTTTTTTTTTCTTTTTTTTTTTTATCTAGTATGCATTAATTTGGAAGAAATCGGGGCTTCATCAGTTATTTTCGGAAATGGCGGCAAATATTGGATAAAGTCACAGTGTAGTCGTTTTACTCTCGCTGATAAACTAATTGAAACAATGAACTTATAAGGCAGTTATTTATATCAGTCTTATAGCCACCGTTACTTCACTCAGAAAAGTGACCAGATGACGTCTCGAAAGACTATAGCGCGTTTTCACACGATACAATTTTTGTTAGAGGTTTACAAAGCATTTCGTGATACAAAGTCCGAATTCTGGGATTGTACTTTAAAGTCGAAAGATGTACTTTCCTCAGAAAGTACCGGAAAAAAAAAAAACTAGGTGAAGTCCAAATATATATTCAGAGAATGGACTTCAAGTAAAGTAGAAGTTATCTTCACCTTCTTGTAGTACTCTAAGTACAATGTGCATACAGTACTTCCCGACACCGTTCCCCCCCTACGTGTCAACTAGTCTGCACTATATGAATAATTTCGACTGCGTTTTCAAGGCCAAGTGCGATCGCAAGAGACCCAAATAAGAAAAAGAAATCGAAGGGAATGTTGTAGTTTTATTGCATGCGGAATCGGAATGACCTTGTTTGCATAATTCTGTTTATCCGATGGATGAGTTTACACGCACGAGATCAGCTACTGGGAACCTGTTTTTAGACCGAGACTCCTTACTAGCTTGTTAACGCTAGCGGAGAAAATTTAGGGATCGATGTTGAGTCTTAGGTATTTCACTGAGGTTACGAAAGTGCGCCCGTGGTGTGGGCATGTGCGCAGGTATATGTAAAAGGCGTAGAAGGCATTGTGAAGAGGCGTTGGAACCTAGATGATTGATGGTGATGTCTTGTCTCGGGACGATTTACAATGTGTGCCGTTTTGGCAGCGGCGTCTTGGAGCATTCGATTCTTCGACTCGACGTCTGTCTGATGCATGCCGCATCCACCTGCATAGACCTGCATTTCGATGGGCCATGTTCGTCGTATATACCTTGCTGTAGCCCCGTCCCTTTCCTTTCCAAACTACTGTTTGCGCGTTTGCTCATAGATTACCAGCCCTACGTCTTTGGTCTCGTCCATTCTTTTCCACTCGTATGTTTATTTATAATGGTTGCATAAATTCCGTAGCGCCCTGTAAAGCGCCTTTATGCAGAGCAGCCGCAGTCCTCTTGTTAAAAGTGCGATGAACTATTGAAATGAAAAAGAAAGTTACATTGTGATGAACATATAATAAATATTGCACCGCGATGAACATACCGGGGAAAAATATATTTCAATGCGGTTAATATATTAGGAAGAATATAATGCACTGCTTTAAACACACTGAAAAAGACAATATTGCGTTGCGATGAATATACTGGGGAAAAAAGTATACTGCACTGCGAGAAGCGTACTGGAAGAATCTTTTGTTTAGATGAACGTAACTAGAAATATAGTTCTGTTTCAAAATCGAAAACCAAAAACCTGCTAAAAGAATCCCGAAAAAAAACGCTAAATTTAAGGCGCACAGGTGCTGTTTTTAAAGCTTAACATATCTGTATACGAATAGCCGTGAAAGCTGCACTTGTAACATGTGGTGTCAAAATTGAGATTTGTTTATTTTACGGTTGTTTTTTTTGCAAGCTCTACAAATTTGCTAAAGAAAAAGAACGTGAAATAATAATAACAATAATAGTTTTATTAGCACAGGATCATGCACATACATTGATTACTGCCTCACGAAAGCGCTTGCGTGTGAGAACAGGCAGTCCATAAAAGAAAAAAAAAGCTTGCGGATATCCGCGGATTACTCGCGGATCATCCGCGGATAGAAATGAGTCGGATTGCGGATTGGATGCCAGGGGCTGCGGATGCTGATGGGATGCGGACATCCGCAGGCTCGGATTTACATTTTTGCCGAGGCAACCCAGAAATGTGTGGGACCGCACAGTGTAGAGTGAATTAGTGAGTGATACTATGAAGTACATCATAGAGTGTGTTGCGGAAGCAAACCACTCCCTTAGATCAAGGGTATCAATCGGAGAGAAAACTGTTCTTTACGTCAAAAAAGACTCGATTCTCACCAAAGGTTGCTTAGAAAAAATACAGAGTGCAGGAGCATCAGTCGTCCCGGAAAAGGGTTGTCTTTTTTGGCAAAAAAAAAAAAAAAAGGAGGAAAACGTTTTTTGGGCAAAGAAAACCGAAAACGTGCAAGCCATAAGAAAGTAGAAGTAGCTTCTTCGCCAACAAGTAGATCGAGGAGACTAAATTCGATCCTCTGGAATGGTGGAACTTGCGCCAGCACCAGTTTCCGCAACTCTTTGTTGTAGTGCATGCCATCCCAGCATCAACGGAGGGAGATTCCTCATTAGCGGGTCTTAATTTAAGATAGGCGAACCAGTCTGGATCCGTCCATGTTGATGATATTTTGTTTCTTCAACACAGCAACCCCGACAAGTGAAACCAATAAGAGCTGTTGCCATGATTAAATATTGGGATATTTTTCCTGTGGTGTACTCGCGCCTTGCCACATATACACGAGTACTTTGCTGCGGTGAGTGAGTGCATTTCCTCCCAATTTTTTGTTGATTGTTTGGCCTAAATGACAGAATGTAATTAGCCTGTCATTTGTTAATTTTCATGTTTATAAAATATGCGTC